AAGTCCAATATAGTCCAAGACCAGTTAGACTCTTTGCTTAGCCACGTCATCAAGGGGGAGAGCATGAGAAGTTTTATCTGCACCACCGAAGGAAACGGTCCATCTTTGACCATTTTTCATGGAGAGCTCCTCAACCACCTCGCTCGTTGAGAAGAGATCTGGAGCTCCACTGAAATAGTTGCTTAGTCGCTGGAAAATAGCCCCAACCTGTTTGGGGGCCACTATAAATTGCACGCTCCATCAACACTTGGAAGGACACTGATTGCTTGGCACCACACCTTCCTTGATTCTCTATTCTCCCTCGAAACTTGTATTCTCTATCTACATACCTTTAAATTAATAAAGTACTCGACAACGAAAGTCATGCAAGAGTGGACGTAAGTCGAGTTGACCGAACCACTATAAATCTTGTCTCCTCCAATTCTCTCTTTACTTTTACTGCATTTATTATTTACACTTGACAGATGGTGTGCAAAACCATTTTTGTGCTTCATCACATACCATAAGCAATCAACAGCTAATTGTGGTAACAACGTAGCAAGGGAGAGGGTATTAATTTGAGTTGGAAAAATAAAAGTCAATTTAAGTTTAGTTCATGCAATTTATGTTTTATTTTTGGGCGAAATGTTCTGGTGGTCCTTTGAAATATATATTCAGCCTCACTTTGGTCTCAACTTTTAAGTGTTACTTTCATTTTTTAAGGTTTTTTCAATTCTCTTGTTTAATGGTCCAATTACTAGCTCCTGTCTAAATAATTAATGAAAATGGACACATATAACACTTTATGTTGATTATTTTTGTGGAGATTAAAAATTGAATCATTAAAAAATAAATTATAAATTTTAATGACTAAAATGTCATAATTGGGAGTTAAGAGATCAAAATGAGATTGAATTAATGTTACCAGAACCGGACTGGTTATCGAACCAGCAGGGAGACTGGGTCAATGGTTCATTGATTCAGTCATTGGGTTAACTGGTCGAACCGGTTGTATAAAAAAATAATAATTTAGCTAAAAAAATATAAAATATATCCATAATACATAAATTTAGTATAAATTAACACCATTAACACATAATCCTATCTAACAAAAAAAAAAAAGTAAAATAATAACAAGAGCAATCTATATTACTTAAAAAGTGAGGAGACATGAAAAAGATTTATATTTTGCTTTTACCCTTAATCTATATCTATATCTATACTACTTAAAAAGTGAGGATACATGAAAAACATTTATATTTCATTTTTACCCTTAACTATTGGTATAAAGTCAATCATATCCACTATGTCTTTTGATCTTCCTTTAGCATCAAATTGATTAGTTGCATTGTTCAACAAGTAATGACAGTGCACGATCATCGGATTATATTTAATTTCCTTAAATTAATATATTGATTATATTTAATTTTCTTGAATTAACCCTAAAACGTTTACAACTCATTATCTCCTACAACATATAAATTTTTCTCAGTTGATACAAAGAGTGTTGTTCTTGATCATCTTCTTTGTCTTCCATTCTCTCGTTTATCTGCTTTGTTATATTTAAAAATTTTGGCTCTTTATTGTATCAATTTGTGGGCATCTGTCCACAATCTTATCGATCCTCCAATTACTTTCAACTCACCAAAAATTTGGACTATGTGTGAATAGAATGAAAAGAAAGAGAAGAAGAAGAGAATACAATGGTCAAGGACTCTAAGAGGCAGAAGTTGTTTCATGAGCTTACTGAATTTCTTTTTGAGCACATCTCATTATTCATGAGGTGATAATGGCTTTATGTGCTTTTATTTGCAAATGCATTTGACTTTTATAGCTTTTTGGTTGCAGNTTTTTGTGGTTGGCATTGGGTGGTGTTGGCACAATCGTGGTGCTACAGCCACGTGTATGCGTCGTTGTGTGAGAAGTGTGTGTAGGGTCCGGCTCCTCTACGATAAACAGGTAACCGTATATCATAAGCGGAACGATGTCATTTTTTGTTTTTTGTAATTTTTTTTTTCATTGAATGATAGCAAAACAACGTCGTTTAAGTCCGACAAATTTCAGCCTTAAAGATCTGCACCCCTCTTCTTCGTTAGACTTTAACAGCAGAGTTTTGCGNTTTTAACTCGATGTTCACTAATATTTAGCTCTAATTGTTTTTTACATGTAGCAAATTTTTTTATCGCTTTATATCTTTGCTAATAGTTTATATTCCTATTTTGATTAACCTCCTCGTTCGATTTCATTGTTATTATTGTACAGGTTTACTCAAACGCAAATTCAGCAGCTTGATAGAAGTAGGCAATGGTCTAGGGCACTTACTAGTTCTTATATTTGTTGCTATTACTGTGATATTTCATTCTTGTTGCTCATTAGTATATTCTGGACAATTTTGAATAAACTTAGACAATCAAGTGCCCAATTTCACCATNCTACATCAGCAGATCTGGATCCGACGACTTTAGGCAGCTCCGATGATCCCAAGCAGTTCTGACTTTAGACAACGTACGTTCTCTCTCTGTTAACAACTACCATTTAGATTTGCCAAATTTAAAAAAAATTCATAGGAAGCCTTAAGTAATATTCCATAATTCGTTGTCATATTAATATTAATGTCTTGTATACTGGTAACCTTCTGTTGAGATGACATTATATGCATATATTCATAAGGTGTAAAAAATGATTGTGGTTGTCGTCCCATTTTACCACAACAAATTTGTCAATTTCTCCATTAAGAGATATGCATATATGAGCTTGACAATTTGTTCATATTTCTGTTCAAGATTTCCTTATTTGCAACTCTCTTTTATCACAAATTATTTGACGTTATTTACAACAAACATATTTTCTATAAAGGACAACGCTATGTTTCAAACTTTTATTTTGAAAATCTTTTCGCACGCTAAATTCTACTGACTCCCCATAATTATTATAAAATACATAAGCATCTTCCTCCGTATCAAATTGTATACCAATATGGGTCTATTCTCAGTCACATTAACTCTCAAATCATCCATCATAATATCCTACAATAAAAAATTTAATTGAAATGACATATATGGTGAATGAAGCACATAATATGTGTATGACATGCAAAAAAAAGAACAAAAATCAAACTACTTGAAACTGCTTATCAACTTTGTTAATAAATAATAGGTTACATACATCTTCTGTGACTATTTGCATTCATAAGGTTACATAATTCTTAAGAAAATTAATCAAATCCGACATAAATTGTATTATGAAATTCTCGACAACAGTTTCAGAATTTAAAACATGACACTATCCAATCTATTAACAAGCCAACAAGAACAAAAACCACAAAACACGACACTACCCGATTCATTTATAAGCCAACAAGAACAAAAAAAACACATGTACAAAGAAATTGACTTCATTATTCCATTATTTTCATTAATCAAGAGGTTCATCAAATAACCTCTGACCTCCAAATATCCATCAACTCAGAAGTCAACCTAAACTTGAAGAGGGCAACATAATATCCAAATATCCCACAGACTTACCTGGCTTTTGGCGTTCACCGGTAAGGAGAAGCAGTCAAACAAAGATTATATTGCGATCATAGTCTAAACTTGGGTTTCAGCCTAGCTTCAATCACGAGCTTCACTGCTTATAGTTGATGTTGAAGACAACTACAACAACATTGTCTCAGTCACAAGTCATCGTCCAGAATCGTGGAGAATAACAGGCCATGCACAAACTCACGTCTATGGGCCTCTTCCTCTCGAGAAGAAGAGGGCGACTGAGTTGAGGAAAAAAAAGGCGGGGGAAACAGTAAGTTTGACGAAGAGAAAGCGGGAGAAAAAGAAGGAATTTTAGAATTGGTTTAGCCGGACCCAAATGATGTCGTTTTGGTAAAGGATCAATAAAAAAAATTACAAAAAGCAGTGAAACAGTGCCGTTCCACTTAACCACATGATACGCGGTTACCTATTTGTCGTAGAGGAGCTGCACCCGTGTGTGTATGGTGTCACACACACACACACACACAGAGAGAGAGAGAGAGAGAGGCAATTTTGAGCTATTTTTGTCCCAAAGGAAATTCGTTTGGAATAAGAGATAAATGTTGGTATTTCAAGCTTTATTTTGCTGAACAATGTTACTTCGACTTAAAATACTAGCTTGATTTATTAGCTTGATCAATCACTGTCATTGATTTAAAATTATGAATTCTAGTATTTATTGATACTCACTAATTATTCAATAAATTTTTATTGATCAAATTAGCATTTTAAGTTAAAATAACATTTTCTTATTTCGCCAACATCATTTATACATGCAACAACACAGTCTTGTCTTTCTTTTTTTCAGTAGTCGGCGCAAGTCTGAATACCTTGCAGTAAAAAAGAAAAATTAACAGAGTCTTGCCATTATAATTTTGAAATGCCAGGAATGACCACATAGTTTTCCGAATGAAAGTGTTCTAATTTTCCTATCATAAAATGACATGCATTGTGCTGGAAGTCTGATCAACTTATATTCTGTATGATGCAGAAAGTTAAAATAGATCGTAGCAAACCCATTCTTGTTGAGGCAATTGATGAAAACCTAGACATACAACACGGATCTTCTGCTTCCATATGTTTTCGCATTGCCGATTTAGGTTGTTCAATCGGACCAAATACATTCACCTCAGTGAAGAACCTAATCGAAGCCATAAAACAAAAACACCAAATCGAAGGCCAGACCACTCGCATCCCAGAATTTCAAGTGTTCTTCAATGATCATGTTGACAATGATTTCAATGCTCTTTTCACCAACTTCCCACCAGATAGGCCAAACTTCGCAGCCGGAGTTCCAGGTTCTTTTCATAGCAGACTGTTCCCAAAGGCCTGCCTTAATTTTGTTGACTCTGCAAATGCACTACATTGGCTTTCTCATGCTTTTAATAAGGGGAGGATTTACTACACAAATGAACATAAGGAAGTTGGTGAGGCTTATTCAAAGCGATAGGCGAAGGACATCGAGTCGTTTCTTGGTGCTCGGTCGATAGAGCTCGCTTCGGGAGGTTAAATGGCGATTGTAATTTCATGTAGGGTAGATGGAACAGCTCTAGCAGAGTCCTCAATTAGTCCATATTTGCTTCCATTGGAGTCTAGCCTTTTGGACATGACAAGTCAGGTGTATACCAAAAAGCAACAAATTATTGTGTTTCATTCACCACCCTCTTCCCCCTTCGTTTTATTTTTATTATTCTTAATTAGTTTCACAGTCAAGAACTAGAGATATAAGGCCACTTTGGCAATGTTTTATGTGGTTTATGATCTAAAAAATAAGAAAAAGTTAAAAAAAAAAATTAAGAGATTTTTGGTAATGGCAAGGTTAGGACTTGGTACCCACTCTTACAGAGTAAATCCCAGATATTGACAATTACTCATTAACCACATTAAGTACAACCTTTGATGTAAATAGTTCATGCAAAGGACACTTACTATGTTCTTCTGCTTTTTTCTTCTATCTCACAGAAAATTTTTGTTTCCTAAAAGAGAAATGATTAAAATTTGTTCTGAATATACACCAGAGTACCTCCTCATGAACCTAAGTTGTTTAAATCTTTGCAGGGAATTCTTAGCAATGCTAAAATCGATTCATTCAACGTGCCCCTATACAGCCCATTATCTGAGGAGCTAAAGATGACAGTTCAAAGAAATGAATGTTTTGACATTGTAAAATTGGAGACACTTGGGTTCAAGTCTGTACGACTGCTATCTATGCAAGAATGCAGGGCAGTATTCGAGGAGATTACCAAAAAACACTTTGGTGGTGAGATAGTCGAAGATTTGTTTGATCAACACAACCATCAAAAAACACTTTGGTGGTGAGATAGAGTACTGTTATGATAGTGATAAAATATGCTTTAGCTTTTTTGACGACATTACTTTCTTGCTTAAAAATAATTACTTAATAGCTTAAATCTCCCACATTCATACGATTAGGCCATGTACTAAACACATATAACCACCACCACAACATAACAAGATAAGCTACCACATATATGAAGTATAGGTAAGAAAGGCCATTTGTGCTTTTTGGCATTTTATCCACTTTTGAACTTGATGTGAAACCTTTCAGGCCTATTTATACAAAGAGATTAAAAAAAAAAAAAAGAAATCACTGACACACAAACAAATATATATAGAGAGATTACTGGCACACAAACCTGTCTCCTACATTGTGTTCATAAACAATTGATATAGTGATTACATTCCCAGAAAATCAATTCGATCAAGGCGGTGCTCGAGCAATTTGCTTACCTCGACTGTCAGTTTCAAAATGCTAGAAGTAGTCTGCCACTCCCACTGACGTTGCTAGAACTCACAACCACTTTTCTTTCACTACAGCATTGGCTACAAAATCATTGAGGTGCATGTCCCTGTGATTGGAGGAAAAATTTATAAGGCTAATTTATATCATGAAAGATAATAAGGATGGAAGACACTTGACAGTAATAACTACGGTGAACAATGGTGATTAGGTAGTGAGCATTATGTACTAATTCCCAACCAACAGAAGTAACGCGGTTGGAAATTCTTTTAAATATACCACCCATTTTGCGGCCATTGCATCTGTCTTACACTTCCTGCATGCTTCTTTCAATTTTTCGTTTCGAGAAAATGGGGAAGTGGTGTTGATAGGAATACTAAAGGACAATCACTTTATGAATTTGGATTTCATTTTGAACAGACAAACCTGATATAAGTATGGCACCGCATAGTCCTGCCACCATTAGAGAAGAAAAATGGAATATGTACAAGAAGAAATCATTCCAATGGTGCGCCCCAGTCAGGTCATTCACAGGTTGGTTCTATCAACTGGTTGATGTTTAGAATTCAAGATCAAGTGCCGTAGACCTTCTATGATAGAAGAGAACAAAGGACGTTTCATTGGCTCCCTGCAACATATCATCAGTGTTCAAGAAGGGGAGAGAGAGAGAGAGAGAGATTGAGTTGCTTCATGGCATGAATTCTTGCCTCATCTTGACTAACGTGTGAGAAACGTAAGACTTATACCATTATAAAAATGTAAGATTAGTGCATTAAGCTTGGAAGTCAATCAAAGATATTGCAGGTAAAATGACTCACTCAGCCCAACACGCCTCAATCAGGGCAGCCACTTGAGGATTGACTTTGATTGGAATTTCAAGCCTGCTACCCTTAAGTCCAACTGCTGCCATGATCTACAAAAGAGGTAAGTGTGCTCAGTCACTTGATAACGATATCGAGAGCATGTAATAGTGTACACATCTGCTTGTTAGTTGGTGCATAGCCTCGACAATTTGGCAATGCAACAGCTTATTGCCTTTCAAATTCCTGTTTAATTACCCCTATTCAACCTGGAAACTATTATACTTCACCCCTACTTGTTACCAACCAAAACCAGTTGTCCAGGACTTCAACCTACCAATTCAATAGCTGGGGATACCCTACATTAATTTTGAAGCGTAAAAAGCATCCTGGGAAACACAGAATGAGAACAAAGGGAAGCATTTCACTGGGATATTATTTTTGCTTGAGGGCTATAATCCACATAGGACTAGATTACTTAATAGTTCAGAAGATAGATAGTCAATATAGATGACCACCTATTAGTAAATGCATCTTGGGACAACCAAAAGGAAAGGAAACAAGTAGCAACTGCAGTAGCACAGTTAATCAAAGTAAATGAAAGAGTGCATTGCATGGGATACCGCTAGTGTATATGTATAAATATACTCAAGTCAGCCCAGCTGTGGTGGGCATAAGATTCTTCTTCAATTCCTATTTTCCTATCTCTAATACATAAACCCTAACAATTATAAAATGAATGGTCAGATTGAGTCCAGTATAAACCTTTTACACACTTTTGGAAGAAATATAATGCCACTCAATTTCTAGAACAGAAATATCACAACTCACCTCCAATTCTAATCACATATTTCACCCCGGAAAATCCAGTCAAATATCATTCAATGAAAGAGAAAGGACTCCAGGTTCCTCCTATACTCTTCTGTTTAAGTATCTCAACCTGCTTTATAGTATTCTTCAAAGGGTCTATCTTTTTTTTTCACCAAATAACAAGTTTTAAAAAGGTGGTGTCTATGTAGCCAATTTCTGCAGTGAGGTGAAAATGATATATAGAAAACCTGATATGGATTACAATTTCTCCATGGTTGTTGCAGGGTCACAAGTTCCCACAAAATTACACCAAAGCTGTAAACATCTGATTTCTCATTTGACGGCTCATCACGGAGAACTTCGGGTGCCATCCATGCAGGCTAATCGTAATAACCAAAAAGAATAAATTAGTAATAAGAAATACTAAATATTACAGTAAAAAGCCAGCTGAAACTTTTCAATCTTNATAAACTTAAAAGGATACCAGGACGAAACAAAACAACCATTTCACTGGTCATTGCTCGTGTTTGATACTTAGAATGGGATGTGAAGTACTACAATTCGTTAAGGCCGAGGGCAAAAAAGGCTCAATGCTGCTGGTTCAAGAAAATTGGTAAGCACAATGAAATTATCATATTAATATAACAAATTATTTCTCCAGACTCAACACATACATAATTTTGCAGAAAGACTATGTCGACATTGCTAATATGAAGAACCACCAGCAAATAGTGAAAAAAGGATCATCATTGTCAAGGAATGTTGGAATTCATCCAACATTTAATCATTCAATAACATATATAACAAACGCTCCCCAACAATATCCGGACTCTGAAGTATAAGACAACATAATTTACTGAAAATACACACAAATGTTACATTACTAATTAAACTCAACAATGCAAGGTCTATTGTGGATTGTATGTTTGCCACAACATGCACAGACTCGTTATGGGTATTAACATTGATCTAACAAAGAAAGAGATCAAAACTCTAACGACAACAATGAGCAACAAGTTCTTCAACCACCCCAGATCATGGTCTCAAAACGATTTTGAAGAAAGAGAGTCTTGAAGCTGTTTGAAAAATGCATGAATGCAATATCTTTTTTGTCTTTACAAAAAATTGAAATCTAACTGTAAAATCGGTCAATTTTTTTGTGAAAACTAGTGAATCGGTAGGTTCGTATAACCCAAACGGTTCGAATAATACCTCAGATAAAAAATAAATATTTGTGGAGTCGTAAATCAACGAAAACCACAGCGTGCTTCGATCTCCTTCTTCCTCTCCAGTCCAGACAATGTCAGCAACTCCTCATCTCTGCTCGAACTCGAAGCCTCCAACTCCTCAACTTAGCTCGAAGCTTCTAATCCAAAAGCACAACCTTTGGCGAAGGCATTCGATTCGGTCTCTTCCTTCTCTGGAACTCAGTATGTATGTGCCCTTCCCTTATCTTCTCCTCTCTCTCTCTCTCTTCACAGACCGACAGTCGTATACCCCACCCGAGTCTCGATTNTTTGCCCTTCCCTTATCTTCTCCTCTCTCTCTCTCTCTCTTCACAGACCGACAGTCGTATACCCCACCCGAGTCTCGATTTTTGTGGTTGGCATTGGGTGGTGTTGGCACAATCGTGGTGCTACAGCCACGTGTATGCGTCGTTGTGTGAGAAGTGTGTGTAGGGTCCGGCTCCTCTACGATAAACAGGTAACCGTATATCATAAGCGGAACGATGTCATTTTTTGTTTTTTGTAATTTTTTTTTTCATTGAATGATAGCAAAACAACGTCGTTTAAGTCCGACAAATTTCAGCCTTAAAGATCTGCACCCCTCTTCTTCGTTAGACTTTAACAGCAGAGTTTTGCGACATCAGCAGATCTGGATCCGACGACTTTAGGCAGCTCCGATGATCCCAAGCAGTTCTGACTTTAGACAACGTATGTTCTCTCTGTTAACAACTACCATTTAGATTTGCCAAATTTTAAAAAATTTCATAGGAAGCCTTAAAGTAATATTTCATAATTCGTTCTCATATTAATATTAATGTCTTGTATACGGGTAACTTTCTGTTGAGATGACATTATATGCATAGATTCATAAGGTGTAAAAAATGATTGTGGTTGTCGTCCCATTTTACTACAACAAATTTGTCAATTTCTCCATTAAGAGATATGCATATATGAGCTTGACAATTTGTTCATATTTCTGTTCAAGATTTCCTTATTTGCAACTCTCTTTTATCACAAATCATTTGACCTTATTTATAACAAACATATTTTCTATAAAGGGCAACGCTATGTTTCAAACTTTTATTTTGAAAATTTTTTCGCACGCTAAATCCTACTGACTCCCCATAATTATTATAAAATACATAAGCATCTTCCTCCGTATCAAATTGTATACCAATATGGGTCTATTCTCATTCACATTAACTCCCAAATCATCCATCATAATATCCTACAATAAAAAATTTAATTGAAATGACATATGTGGTGAATAAAGCACATAATATGTGTATGACATGCAAAAAAAAAAAACAAAAATCAAACTTCTTGAAACTGGATATCAGCTTTGTTAATAAACAATAGGTTACATACATCTTCTATGACTATTTGCATTCATAAGGTTACATAATTCTTAAGAAAATTAATCAAATCCGATATAAATTGTATTATGAAATTTATGAAATTCTCGACAACAGTTTCAAAATTTAAAACATGACACTATCCAATCTATTAACAAGCCAACAAGAACAAAAATCACAAAACACAACACTACCCGATTCATTTATAAGCCAACAAGAACAAAAAAAAAAAACATGTACAAAGAAATTGATTTCATTATTCCATTATTTTTATTATTCAAGAGCTTCATCAAATAGCCTCTGACCTCCAAATATCCATCAACTCAGATGTCAACCTAAACTTGAAGAGGGCAACATAATATCCAAATATCCCACAGACTTACCTGGCTTTTGGCGTTCACCGGTAAGGAGAAGCAGTCAAACAAAGATTATATTGCGATCATAGTCTAAACTTGGGTTTCAGCCTAGCTTCAATCACGAGCTTCACTGCTTATAGTTGATGTTGAAGACAACTACAACAACATTGTCTCAGTCACAAGTCATCGTCCAGAATCGTGGAGAATAACAGGCCATGCACAAACTCACGTCTATGGGCCTCTTCCTCTCCAGAAGAAGAGGGCGACTGAGTTGAGGAAAAAAAAGGCGGGGGGAAACAGTAAGTTTGACGAAGAGAAAGCGGGAGAAAGAGAAGGAATTTTAGAATTGGTTTAGCTGGACCCAAATGATGTCGTTTTGGTAAAGGATCAATAAAAAAAATTACAAAAAGCAGTGAAACAGTGCCGTTCCACTTAACCACATGATACGCGGTTACCTATTTGTCGTAGAGGAGCTGCACCCGTGTGTGTATGGTGTCACACACACACACACACATAGAGAGAGAGAGAGAGAGAGGCAATTTTGAGCTATTTTTGTCCCAAAGGAAATTCGTTTGNGGTGCACCCGTGTGTGTATGGTGTCACACACACACACACACACATAGAGAGAGAGAGAGAGGCAATTTTGAGCTATTTTTGTCCCAAAGGAAATTCGTTTGGAATAAGAGATAAATGTTGGTATTTCAAGCTTTATTTTGCTGAACAATGTTACTTCGACTTAAAATACTAGCTTGATTTATTAGCTTGATCAATCACTGTCATTGATTTAAAACTATGAATTCTAGTATTTATTGATACTCACTAATTATTCAATAAGTTTTTATTGATCAAATTAGCATTTTAAGTCAAAATAACATTTTCTTATTTCGCCAACATCATTTATACATGCAACAACACAGTCTTGTCTTTCTTTTTTTTAGTAGTCGGCACAAGTCTGAATACCTTGCAGTAAAAAAGAAAAATTAACAGAGTCTTGCCATTATAATTTTGAAATGCCAGGAATGACCACATAGTTTTCCGAATGAAAGTGTTCTAATTTTCCTATCATAAAATGACATGCATTGTGCTGGAAGTCTGATCAACTTATATTCTGTATGATGCAGAAAGTTAAAATAGATCGTAGCAAACCCATTCTTGTTGAGGCAATTGATGAAAACCTAGACATACAACACGGATCTTCTGCTTCCATATGTTTTCGCATTGCCGATTTAGGTTGTTCAATCGGACCAAATACATTCACCTCAGTGAAGAACCTAATCGAAGCCATAAAACAAAAACACCAAATCGAAGGCCAGACCACTCGCATCCCAGAATTTCAAGTGTTCTTCAATGATCATGTTGACAATGATTTCAATGCTCTTTTCACCAACTTCCCACCAGATAGGCCAAACTTCGCAGCCGGAGTTCCAGGTTCTTTTCATAGCAGACTGTTCCCAAAGGCCTGCCTTAATTTTGTTGACTCTGCAAATGCACTACATTGGCTTTCTCATGCTTTTAATAAGGGGAGGATTTACTACACAAATGAACATAAGGAAGTTGGTGAGGCTTATTCAAAGCGATAGGCGAAGGACATCGAGTCGTTTCTTGGTGCTCGGTCGATAGAGCTCGCTTCGGGAGGTTAAATGGCGATTGTAATTTCATGTAGGGTAGATGGAACAGCTCTAGCAGAGTCCTCAATTAGTCCATATTTGCTTCCATTGGAGTCTAGCCTTTTGGACATGACAAGTCAGGTGTATACCAAAAAGCAACAAATTATTGTGTTTCATTCACCACCCTCTTCCCCCTTCGTTTTATTTTTATTATTCTTAATTAGTTTCACAGTCAAGAACTAGAGATATAAGGCCACTTTGGCAATGTTTTATGTGGTTTATGATCTAAAAAATAAGAAAAAGTTAAAAAAAAAAATTAAGAGATTTTTGGTAATGGCAAGGTTAGGACTTGGTACCCACTCTTACAGAGTAAATCCCAGATATTGACAATTACTCATTAACCACATTAAGTACAACCTTTGATGTAAATAGTTCATGCAAAGGACACTTACTATGTTCTTCTGCTTTTTTCTTCTATCTCACAGAAAATTTTTGTTTCCTAAAAGAGAAATGATTAAAATTTGTTCTGAATATACACCAGAGTACCTCCTCATGAACCTAAGTTGTTTAAATCTTTGCAGGGAATTCTTAGCAATGCTAAAATCGATTCATTCAACGTGCCCCTATACAGCCCATTATCTGAGGAGCTAAAGATGACAGTTCAAAGAAATGAATGTTTTGACATTGTAAAATTGGAGACACTTGGGTTCAAGTCTGTACGACTGCTATCTATGCAAGAATGCAGGGCAGTATTCGAGGAGATTACCAAAAAACACTTTGGTGGTGAGATAGTCGAAGATTTGTTTGATCAACACAACCATCAAAAAACACTTTGGTGGTGAGATAGAGTACTGTTATGATAGTGATAAAATATGCTTTAGCTTTTTTGACGACATTACTTTCTTGCTTAAAAATAATTACTTAATAGCTTAAATCTCCCACATTCATACGATTAGGCCATGTACTAAACACATATAACCACCACCACAACATAACAAGATAAGCTACCACATATATGAAGTATAGGTAAGAAAGGCCATTTGTGCTTTTTGGCATTTTATCCACTTTTGAACTTGATGTGAAACCTTTCAGGCCTATTTATACAAAGAGATTAAAAAAAAAAAAAAGAAATCACTGACACACAAACAAATATATATAGAGAGATTACTGGCACACAAACCTGTCTCCTACATTGTGTTCATAAACAATTGATATAGTGATTACATTCCCAGAAAATCAATTCGATCAAGGCGGTGCTCGAGCAATTTGCTTACCTCGACTGTCAGTTTCAAAATGCTAGAAGTAGTCTGCCACTCCCACTGACGTTGCTAGAACTCACAACCACTTTTCTTTCACTACAGCATTGGCTACAAAATCATTGAGGTGCATGTCCCTGTGATTGGAGGAAAAATTTATAAGGCTAATTTATATCATGAAAGATAATAAGGATGGAAGACACTTGACAGTAATAACTACGGTGAACAATGGTGATTAGGTAGTGAGCATTATGTACTAATTCCCAACCAACAGAAGTAACGCGGTTGGAAATTCTTTTAAATATACCACCCATTTTGCGGCCATTGCATCTGTCTTACACTTCCTGCATGCTTCTTTCAATTTTTCGTTTCGAGAAAATGGGGAAGTGGTGTTGATAGGAATACTAAAGGACAATCACTTTAGGAATTTGGATTTCATTTTGAACAGACAAACCTGATATAAGTATGGCACCGCATAGTCCTGCCACCATTAGAGAAGAAAAATGGAATATGTACAAGAAGAAATCATTCCAATGGTGCGCCCCAGTCAGGTCATTCACAGGTTGGTTCTATCAACTGGTTGATGTTTAGAATTCAAGATCAAGTGCCGTAGACCTTCTATGATAGAAGAGAACAAAGGACGTTTCATTGGCTCCCTGCAACATATCATCAGTGTTCAAGAAGGGGAGAGAGAGAGAGAGAGAGATTGAGTTGCTTCATGGCATGAATTCTTGCCTCATCTTGACTAACGTGTGAGAAACGTAAGACTTATACCATTATAAAAATGTAAGATTAGTGCATTAAGCTTGGAAGTCAATCAAAGATATTGCAGGTAAAATGACTCACTCAGCCCAACACGCCTCAATCAGGGCAGCCACTTGAGGATTGACTTTGATTGGAATTTCAAGCCTGCTACCCTTAAGTCCAACTGCTGCCATGATCTACAAAAGAGGTAAGTGTGCTCAGTCACTTGATAACGATATCGAGAGCATGTAATAGTGTACACATCTGCTTGTTAGTTGGTGCATAGCCTCGACAATTTGGCAATGCAACAGCTTATTGCCTTTCAAATTCCTGTTTAATTACCCCTATTCAACCTGGAAACTATTATACTTCACCCCTACTTGTTACCAACCAAAACCAGTTGTCCAGGACTTCAACCTACCAATTCAATAGCTGGGGATACCCTACATTAATTTTGAAGCGTAAAAAGCATCCTGGGAAACACAGAATGAGAACAAAGGGAAGCATTTCACTGGGATATTATTTTTGCTTGAGGGCTATAATCCACATAGGACTAGATTACTTAATAGTTCAGAAGATAGATAGTCAATATAGATGACCACCTATTAGTAAATGCATCTTGGGACAACCAAAAGGAAAGGAAACAAGTAGCAACTGCAGTAGCACAGTTAATCAAAGTAAATGAAAGAGTGCATTGCATGGGATACCGCTAGTGTATATGTATAAATATACTCAAGTCAGCCCAGCTGTGGTGGGCATAAGATTCTTCTTCAATTCCTATTTTCCTATCTCTAATACATAAACCCTAACAATTATAAAATGAATGGTCAGATTGAGTCCAGTATAAACCTTTTACACACTTTTGGAAGAAATATAATGCCACTCAATTTCTAGAACAGAAATATCACAACTCACCTCCAATTCTAATCACATATTTCACCCCGGAAAATCCAGTCAAATATCATTCAATGAAAGAGAAAGGACTCCAGGTTCCTCCTATACTCTTCTGTTTAAGTATCTCAACCTGCTTTATAGTATTCTTCAAAGGGTCTATCTTTTTTTTTCACCAAATAACAAGTTTTAAAAAGGTGGTGTCTATGTAGCCAATTTCTGCAGTGAGGTGAAAATGATATATAGAAAACCTGATATGGATTACAATTTCTCCATGGTTGTTGCAGGGTCACAAGTTCCCACAAAATTACACCAAAGCTGTAAACATCTGATTTCTCATTTGACGGCTCATCACGGAGAACTTCGGGTGCCATCCATGCAGGCTAATCGTAATAACCAAAAAGAATAAATTAGTAATAAGAAATACTAAATATTACAGTAAAAAGCCAGCTGAAACTTTTCAATCTTAACAAAAACTTACAGTCCCTGCAGCCGTTTTAGATGACAGAAATGTGTTTGCTTTTGGACGGGAGAGGCCAAAATCACAGACCTAAGCAGTAGTCACAAATATGAGAATTCAACAATCAAACTCAGAAAACCTCAGCAGCATTGACCCTCCCTAACCCCACTTCACCAAACATAGATACAGCATCAGCATCTTTCACAGCCTCAGTTGATGGAAAATCCAATGGACTAAAGAAAAAGGGAAGAACAGAAACATAGAAAAAGAATAAAAAAGGTTCAATAAATCGGAAAAAAATCAGGGTCTAAGACTTACTTTTACCCTGTAATTATCATCTACCAAAAGATTTGGAGATTTCAAATCTCTGTGAACAATGGGAGGTTTTAGCTGATGAAGATAATTCATTCCCTTTGCCTGTCCAAAAGCAACAACCAGCTTTAATAAGTCTAAGAAAAGGTTTCTATTTGTGCTCTATACTATCAGGATGATGGCACTTATGATTTACTTTTTCCTAATAAAATAGAGAACAAGAAATATATTAAATAAGAATTCTTTATCTTCGATTCTCAATAAATAAAAGACAAAACACATTATATTTTTCAATCTTGTAAAATCACATTTATTCAACTAAATTACACTGGTAACACCAGAACATAAGGCTGTGAAAGAGTTGAGGACATGACACGCTACTAAGCATACCACATCATAAGCCATCTTCAAACAGCATGTATAGTCCAGTATTACTCCCGCGTCATGCATTTCCAGAAGTTTATATAAGCTGCCTCTGCAATGCAATCCAATTTATAATTGAGTGATCATAGTACCTTTTGCCTCACACTGTATAAGTTAAACAGTATATTCAAGATGCTGCAGTGAACCTTGGTAGATATTCTGTAACTATGGATAGATTTGGAGGCATAGTAACAGCACCCAGGAAGAGAACAACATTTGGATGTCTCAGGCGTTTCATGATTGCGACCTAACAAACAAAACGTAATATAGTGAACTAAAAACAAAACAATAAGATCAAGAACATCAGACTGTCAACATTTCCGGAGAAAACAAACAAACAGAAAAACAAATGAAGAGCAACCCAAATCTCATGTTTTAAAGGTCAATCTTTTCACTGAAGCCAATAATAGTGAAAACATACCTCACTCAGGAATTCCTTGAAGCGCTCTGCATGGAAATCTTGCTCCACGAGAACCTTGACAGCAACATCCTAAGATTAAGAGACGATTGGCATTAGACGAAGCCCGTGGATCACATCACTAAAAATGTAGGAGAGGTGAAGAACGATATGTATGATTTTCTTGGTGTTACAAACACCATAAGTGGGCTACCAGACTAAGTATTCAAGAGTGGACGAAAATGAAAAAGAACAAAAAGCACATCAGAAGACAAATTTGTGACTTCCACACTGTACAAGGTATTCTACCAAAGTACGCTGAAGATGAAGTGAAGACAGAATTTTCACCAGAAGCACTGAAGTAAAAGTTGACATGACACTTTTCTGAATCCTGTGTATAACCTGGTACTGGCAAATGTGATTAGAACCACTGAAACATCATGACCTAGATAACCCAGCTAGAGAAACAGAAAAGAACCAGGAAGAACTAAGAATGACAGTGAAAATGTCCATTGGAAATTTAAGAACAGGATTTCCAGTAATCAAACAATAAAAACTCGACAAAACTTTAAAAATCAACTACTCAAGTTTGCTGCACCTCAAATCCAATGATCATACAATGCATGACTTCAATAGAAACCAAAACTGGAAGGCAAATTGACAAGAAAGCTAATTTTGACGTATAAATCAACTAGATAAGTGAAAATCGAAACAAACAAAACATTGGCAGACACAAAGTAATAGGATTTATTTGAGTCAAAGCATTGTACTACTGACTTTGATTCAAGACCAAAATTTTAATTCTAATAAGCCTTCTGCACACAACTTTTGTGTACAAAAATTTACCACATTACACATTGATACGACAACCACATCCAAAGAGAAACCAAAACCTTCTTAAATATAGATGAAGGCTATTATTGGCCTATCACATATGCTATGCCTTTGGAATTTCTAGGTCATAATTATTCATGAATTAGTTGCAATCGTTTATGATTCCCCAAACAAAATGGGTTTTTTGATATTATTGAACTTAATTCTCGCATATTGATTGAAGCTTTAGTTTAATGTGTATCAATTTGATTACCATTGAAAAAATGAAGGACCTTTTTCACTTTATATAAACCTGCTTTTAAGAGATTCATCATACCAGCAAACATTATTTTTTTGAAGACTCTACATTTGTCTCATAACCTTTCAACTGCACCAGCAGCAACTGAGGTAAGGAAACAATACATGAATAGATGATGCCCATAGTCTCCTCTCCTTAATTAAATTGAAAAGACAAATGGTCAGACAAGTGGAGTGAAGGACACTGCCAGAGGGATACCCAAAGATAAGACCTACAAGTCACAAAATGCTAAGAATCCTCATTAGGTTATTCAAAGGAAAAAACATAACTTCAACAATTTAAGCACAATTTCAATGTACCAGTCAAGAAAAACTTTGTTGCACCCATTGAGTTATTCATCTCAATTCATTTCTCAGTTGATCCCTCAACTTGTCAATCAGACAACTTTTTGGTGATCGTCTTCACTTCCCTAAAGCAACAGTGAAACATCGCATTGACAGTCATTCGAAATGAGTAATCCTCGAACTCACCTCTAGTACAGATTCCTACCTTCTCTCATCATAGAAACACACACTAAGCCATCATGTTTCTTGCATCTGCATACATGATACTCCTGGCAATAGGCATCCAGCACCTTTGGTAGGACATACACACTAATCTCTCATTTTATGTTAACGTTTTAAGATCCAACTGCTTGCTGCAAATAGAAGGTAGCATTTCTGTACCATATCCTAGATCCCCTCCATGGTCGAAAAAAGAACAAAAAAACAATGAAATGCGGATCAGTCCCTGGTCTTTCATATGACTGCCTGAACACTTTAGGAGCTAGGTTAGCTGACACCTTTTTATTAACATGCCAGAACACTGCCTTAATGTCATGCTGCTTTGTTATTGAGATAGTGTTACTAGTGTAATTGTGGACAACAAACAACATTGTTCTTTCATCCTAACCAGGCATTATTTGGGTTGTACTCAATAGCATCTTCCAATCAAGTATGTTAAAGTAAGAAACTAGGTGATGTAGATCGTATTAGGGAAGAATTAGGGATGAGAAGGGAAGAAAAAAGGGGTGAGAAAAGAAGAAGAAGGAGATGAGAATAGAGAGAATTTTAGAAANACTGTCATTGATTTAAAACTATGAATTCTAGTATTTATTGATACTCACTAATTATTCAATAAGTTTTTATTGATCAAATTAGCATTTTAAGTCAAAATAACATTTTCTTATTTCGCCAACATCATTTATACATGCAACAACACAGTCTTGTCTTTCTTTTTTTTAGTAGTCGGCACAAGTCTGAATACCTTGCAGTAAAAAAGAAAAATTAACAGAGTCTTGCCATTATAANCGGTCATTGATTTAAAATTATGAATTCTAGTATTTATTGATACTCACTAATTATTCAATAAATTTTTATTGATCAAATTAGCATTTTAAGTTAAAATAACATTTTCTTATTTCGCCAACATCATTTATACATGCAACAACACAGTCTTGTCTTTCTTTTTTTCAGTAGTCGGCGCAAGTCTGAATACCTTGCAGTAAAAAAGAAAAATTAACAGAGTCTTGCCATTATAATTTTGAAATGCCAGGAATGACCACATAGTTTTCCGAATGAAAGTGTTCTAATTTTCCTATCATAAAATGACATGCATTGTGCTGGAAGTCTGATCAACTTATATTCTGTATGATGCAGAAAGTTAAAATAGATCGTAGCAAACCCATTCTTGTTGAGGCAATTGATGAAAACCTAGACATACAACACGGATCTTCTGCTTCCATATGTTTTCGCATTGCCGATTTAGGTTGTTCAATCGGACCAAATACATTCACCTCAGTGAAGAACCTAATCGAAGCCATAAAACAAAAACACCAAATCGAAGGCCAGACCACTCGCATCCCAGAATTTCAAGTGTTCTTCAATGATCATGTTGACAATGATTTCAATGCTCTTTTCACCAACTTCCCACCAGATAGGCCAAACTTCGCAGCCGGAGTTCCAGGTTCTTTTCATAGCAGACTGTTCCCAAAGGCCTGCCTTAATTTTGTTGACTCTGCAAATGCACTACATTGGCTTTCTCATGCTTTTAATAAGGGGAGGATTTACTACACAAATGAACATAAGGAAGTTGGTGAGGCTTANGACTAAGTATTCAAGAGTGGACGAAAATGAAAAAGAACAAAAAGCACATCAGAAGACAAATTTGTGACTTCCACACTGTACAAGGTATTCTACCAAAGTACGCTGAAGATGAAGTGAAGACAGAATTTTCACCAGAAGCACTGAAGTAAAAGTTGACATGACACTTTTCTGAATCCTGTGTATAACCTGGTACTGGCAAATGTGATTAGAACCACTGAAACATCATGACCTAGATAACCCAGCTAGAGAAACAGAAAAGAACCAGGAAGAACTAAGAATGACAGTGAAAATGTCCATTGGAAATTTAAGAACAGGATTTCCAGTAATCAAACAATAAAAACTCGACAAAACTTTAAAAATCAACTACTCAAGTTTGCTGCACCTCAAATCCAATGATCATACAATGCATGACTTCAATAGAAACCAAAACTGGAAGGCAAATTGACAAGAAAGCTAATTTTGACGTATAAATCAACTAGATAAGTGAAAATCGAAACAAACAAAACATTGGCAGACACAAAGTAATAGGATTTATTTGAGTCAAAGCATTGTACTACTGACTTTGATTCAAGACCAAAATTTTAATTCTAATAAGCCTTCTGCACACAACTTTTGTGTACAAAAATTTACCACATTACACATTGATACGACAACCACATCCAAAGAGAAACCAAAACCTTCTTAAATATAGATGAAGGCTATTATTGGCCTATCACATATGCTATGCCTTTGGAATTTCTAGGTCATAATTATTCATGAATTAGTTGCAATCGTTTATGATTCCCCAAACAAAATGGGTTTTTTGATATTATTGAACTTAATTCTCGCATATTGATTGAAGCTTTAGTTTAATGTGTATCAATTTGATTACCATTGAAAAAATGAAGGACCTTTTTCACTTTATATAAACCTGCTTTTAAGAGATTCATCATACCAGCAAACATTATTTTTTTGAAGACTCTACATTTGTCTCATAACCTTTCAACTGCACCAGCAGCAACTGAGGTAAGGAAACAATACATGAATAGATGATGCCCATAGTCTCCTCTCCTTAATTAAATTGAAAAGACAAATGGTCAGACAAGTGGAGTGAAGGACACTGCCAGAGGGATACCCAAAGATAAGACCTACAAGTCACAAAATGCTAAGAATCCTCATTAGGTTATTCAAAGGAAAAAACATAACTTCAACAATTTAAGCACAATTTCAATGTACCAGTCAAGAAAAACTTTGTTGCACCCATTGAGTTATTCATCTCAATTCATTTCTCAGTTGATCCCTCAACTTGTCAATCAGACAACTTTTTGGTGATCGTCTTCACTTCCCTAAAGCAACAGTGAAACATCGCATTGACAGTCATTCGAAATGAGTAATCCTCGAACTCACCTCTAGTACAGATTCCTACCTTCTCTCATCATAGAAACACACACTAAGCCATCATGTTTCTTGCATCTGCATACATGATACTCCTGGCAATAGGCATCCAGCACCTTTGGTAGGACATACACACTAATCTCTCATTTTATGTTAACGTTTTAAGATCCAACTGCTTGCTGCAAATAGAAGGTAGCATTTCTGTACCATATCCTAGATCCCCTCCATGGTCGAAAAAAGAACAAAAAAACAATGAAATGCGGATCAGTCCCTGGTCTTTCATATGACTGCCTGAACACTTTAGGAGCTAGGTTAGCTGACACCTTTTTATTAACATGCCAGAACACTGCCTTAATGTCATGCTGCTTTGTTATTGAGATAGTGTTACTAGTGTAATTGTGGACAACAAACAACATTGTTCTTTCATCCTAACCAGGCATTATTTGGGTTGTACTCAATAGCATCTTCCAATCAAGTATGTTAAAGTAAGAAACTAGGTGATGTAGATCGTATTAGGGAAGAATTAGGGATGAGAAGGGAAGAAAAAAGGGGTGAGAAAAGAAGAAGAAGGAGATGAGAATAGAGAGAATTTTAGAAAGAAGATGCAATATCAATAATCAATAATCAAAGTCTACCAAAACAAATAACATATCTCCTATATATATATATATATATATATATATATATAGGGGGAGACCACAAATCCTAAAAGAACTCTAAAAGAAATAAATAGTCATAATGACAACTAAACCCCTGAAAAATATAATGACAAATAACTCCTAATCCTTACGCCTACGCCTACTATAACGAAATATAATCCGATTCCTATCATTTTTCCCCGGCTGAAAAGAACTCGCCTCCGGAGAGATACAATCATGATAATGCTCTAAAAGATTAGGGTCAAGCCAACGAAACTCCTCCTCAATAATCCATGAATCATCAGTCTCTGGANTAATTTTGAAATGCCAGGAATGACCACATAGTTTTCCGAATGAAAGTGTTCTAATTTTCCTATCATAAAATGACATGCATTGTGCTGGAAGTCTGATCAACTTATATTCTGTATGATGCAGAAAGTTAAAATAGATCGTAGCAAACCCATTCTTGTTGAGGCAATTGATGAAAACCTAGACATACAACACGGATCTTCTGCTTCCATATGTTTTCGCATTGCCGATTTAGGTTGTTCAATCGGACCAAATACATTCACCTCAGTGAAGAACCTAATCGAAGCCATAAAACAAAAACACCAAATCGAAGGCCAGACCACTCGCATCCCAGAATTTCAAGTGTTCTTCAATGATCATGTTGACAATGATTTCAATGCTCTTTTCACCAACTTCCCACCAGATAGGCCAAACTTCGCAGCCGGAGTTCCAGGTTCTTTTCATAGCAGACTGTTCCCAAAGGCCTGCCTTAATTTTGTTGACTCTGCAAATGCACTACATTGGCTTTCTCATGCTTTTAATAAGGGGAGGATTTACTACACAAATGAACATAAGGAAGTTGGTGAGGCTTATTCAAAGCGATAGGCGAAGGACATCGAGTCGTTTCTTGGTGCTCGGTCGATAGAGCTCGCTTCGGGAGGTTAAATGGCGATTGTAATTTCATGTAGGGTAGATGGAACAGCTCTAGCAGAGTCCTCAATTAGTCCATATTTGCTTCCATTGGAGTCTAGCCTTTTGGACATGACAAGTCAGGTGTATACCAAAAAGCAACAAATTATTGTGTTTCATTCACCACCCTCTTCCCCCTTCGTTTTATTTTTATTATTCTTAATTAGTTTCACAGTCAAGAACTAGAGATATAAGGCCACTTTGGCAATGTTTTATGTGGTTTATGATCTAAAAAATAAGAAAAAGTTAAAAAAAAAAATTAAGAGATTTTTGGTAATGGCAAGGTTAGGACTTGGTACCCACTCTTACAGAGTAAATCCCAGATATTGACAATTACTCATTAACCACATTAAGTACAACCTTTGATGTAAATAGTTCATGCAAAGGACACTTACTATGTTCTTCTGCTTTTTTCTTCTATCTCACAGAAAATTTTTGTTTCCTAAAAGAGAAATGATTAAAATTTGTTCTGAATATACACCAGAGTACCTCCTCATGAACCTAAGTTGTTTAAATCTTTGCAGGGAATTCTTAGCAATGCTAAAATCGATTCATTCAACGTGCCCCTATACAGCCCATTATCTGAGGAGCTAAAGATGACAGTTCAAAGAAATGAATGTTTTGACATTGTAAAATTGGAGACACTTGGGTTCAAGTCTGTACGACTGCTATCTATGCAAGAATGCAGGGCAGTATTCGAGGAGATTACCAAAAAACACTTTGGTGGTGAGATAGTCGAAGATTTGTTTGATCAACACAACCATCAAAAAACACTTTGGTGGTGAGATAGAGTACTGTTATGATAGTGATAAAATATGCTTTAGCTTTTTTGACGACATTACTTTCTTGCTTAAAAATAATTACTTAATAGCTTAAATCTCCCACATTCATACGATTAGGCCATGTACTAAACACATATAACCACCACCACAACATAACAAGATAAGCTACCACATATATGAAGTATAGGTAAGAAAGGCCATTTGTGCTTTTTGGCATTTTATCCACTTTTGAACTTGATGTGAAACCTTTCAGGCCTATTTATACAAAGAGATTAAAAAAAAAAAAAAGAAATCACTGACACACAAACAAATATATATAGAGAGATTACTGGCACACAAACCTGTCTCCTACATTGTGTTCATAAACAATTGATATAGTGATTACATTCCCAGAAAATCAATTCGATCAAGGCGGTGCTCGAGCAATTTGCTTACCTCGACTGTCAGTTTCAAAATGCTAGAAGTAGTCTGCCACTCCCACTGACGTTGCTAGAACTCACAACCACTTTTCTTTCACTACAGCATTGGCTACAAAATCATTGAGGTGCATGTCCCTGTGATTGGAGGAAAAATTTATAAGGCTAATTTATATCATGAAAGATAATAAGGATGGAAGACACTTGACAGTAATAACTACGGTGAACAATGGTGATTAGGTAGTGAGCATTATGTACTAATTCCCAACCAACAGAAGTAACGCGGTTGGAAATTCTTTTAAATATACCACCCATTTTGCGGCCATTGCATCTGTCTTACACTTCCTGCATGCTTCTTTCAATTTTTCGTTTCGAGAAAATGGGGAAGTGGTGTTGATAGGAATACTAAAGGACAATCACTTTAGGAATTTGGATTTCATTTTGAACAGACAAACCTGATATAAGTATGGCACCGCATAGTCCTGCCACCATTAGAGAAGAAAAATGGAATATGTACAAGAAGAAATCATTCCAATGGTGCGCCCCAGTCAGGTCATTCACAGGTTGGTTCTATCAACTGGTTGATGTTTAGAATTCAAGATCAAGTGCCGTAGACCTTCTATGATAGAAGAGAACAAAGGACGTTTCATTGGCTCCCTGCAACATATCATCAGTGTTCAAGAAGGGGAGAGAGAGAGAGAGAGAGATTGAGTTGCTTCATGGCATGAATTCTTGCCTCATCTTGACTAACGTGTGAGAAACGTAAGACTTATACCATTATAAAAATGTAAGATTAGTGCATTAAGCTTGGAAGTCAATCAAAGATATTGCAGGTAAAATGACTCACTCAGCCCAACACGCCTCAATCAGGGCAGCCACTTGAGGATTGACTTTGATTGGAATTTCAAGCCTGCTACCCTTAAGTCCAACTGCTGCCATGATCTACAAAAGAGGTAAGTGTGCTCAGTCACTTGATAACGATATCGAGAGCATGTAATAGTGTACACATCTGCTTGTTAGTTGGTGCATAGCCTCGACAATTTGGCAATGCAACAGCTTATTGCCTTTCAAATTCCTGTTTAATTACCCCTATTCAACCTGGAAACTATTATACTTCACCCCTACTTGTTACCAACCAAAACCAGTTGTCCAGGACTTCAACCTACCAATTCAATAGCTGGGGATACCCTACATTAATTTTGAAGCGTAAAAAGCATCCTGGGAAACACAGAATGAGAACAAAGGGAAGCATTTCACTGGGATATTATTTTTGCTTGAGGGCTATAATCCACATAGGACTAGATTACTTAATAGTTCAGAAGATAGATAGTCAATATAGATGACCACCTATTAGTAAATGCATCTTGGGACAACCAAAAGGAAAGGAAACAAGTAGCAACTGCAGTAGCACAGTTAATCAAAGTAAATGAAAGAGTGCATTGCATGGGATACCGCTAGTGTATATGTATAAATATACTCAAGTCAGCCCAGCTGTGGTGGGCATAAGATTCTTCTTCAATTCCTATTTTCCTATCTCTAATACATAAACCCTAACAATTATAAAATGAATGGTCAGATTGAGTCCAGTATAAACCTTTTACACACTTTTGGAAGAAATATAATGCCACTCAATTTCTAGAACAGAAATATCACAACTCACCTCCAATTCTAATCACATATTTCACCCCGGAAAATCCAGTCAAATATCATTCAATGAAAGAGAAAGGACTCCAGGTTCCTCCTATACTCTTCTGTTTAAGTATCTCAACCTGCTTTATAGTATTCTTCAAAGGGTCTATCTTTTTTTTTCACCAAATAACAAGTTTTAAAAAGGTGGTGTCTATGTAGCCAATTTCTGCAGTGAGGTGAAAATGATATATAGAAAACCTGATATGGATTACAATTTCTCCATGGTTGTTGCAGGGTCACAAGTTCCCACAAAATTACACCAAAGCTGTAAACATCTGATTTCTCATTTGACGGCTCATCACGGAGAACTTCGGGTGCCATCCATGCAGGCTAATCGTAATAACCAAAAAGAATAAATTAGTAATAAGAAATACTAAATATTACAGTAAAAAGCCAGCTGAAACTTTTCAATCTTTACAAAAACTTACAGTCCCTGCAGCCGTTTTAGATGACAGAAATGTGTTTGCTTTTGGACGGGAGAGGCCAAAATCACAGACCTAAGCAGTAGTCACAAATATGAGAATTCAACAATCAAACTCAGAAAACCTCAGCAGCATTGACCCTCCCTAACCCCACTTCACCAAACATAGATACAGCATCAGCATCTTTCACAGCCTCAGTTGATGGAAAATCCAATGGACTAAAGAAAAAGGGAAGAACAGAAACATAGAAAAAGAATAAAAAAGGTTCAATAAATCGGAAAAAAATCAGGGTCTAAGACTTACTTTTACCCTGTAATTATCATCTACCAAAAGATTTGGAGATTTCAAATCTCTGTGAACAATGGGAGGTTTTAGCTGATGAAGATAATTCATTCCCTTTGCCTGTCCAAAAGCAACAACCAGCTTTAATAAGTCTAAGAAAAGGTTTCTATTTGTGCTCTATACTATCAGGATGATGGCACTTATGATTTACTTTTTCCTAATAAAATAGAGAACAAGAAATATATTAAATAAGAATTCTTTATCTTCGATTCTCAATAAATAAAAGACAAAACACATTATATTTTTCAATCTTGTAAAATCACATTTATTCAACTAAATTACACTGGTAACACCAGAACATAAGGCTGTGAAAGAGTTGAGGACATGACACGCTACTAAGCATACCACATCATAAGCCATCTTCAAACAGCATGTATAGTCCAGTATTACTCCCGCGTCATGCATTTCCAGAAGTTTATATAAGCTGCCTCTGCAATGCAATCCAATTTATAATTGAGTGATCATAGTACCTTTTGCCTCACACTGTATAAGTTAAACAGTATATTCAAGATGCTGCAGTGAACCTTGGTAGATATTCTGTAACTATGGATAGATTTGGAGGCATAGTAACAGCACCCAGGAAGAGAACAACATTTGGATGTCTCAGGCGTTTCATGATTGCGACCTAACAAACAAAACGTAATATAGTGAACTAAAAACAAAACAATAAGATCAAGAACATCAGACTGTCAACATTTCCGGAGAAAACAAACAAACAGAAAAACAAATGAAGAGCAACCCAAATCTCATGTTTTAAAGGTCAATCTTTTCACTGAAGCCAATAATAGTGAAAACATACCTCACTCAGGAATTCCTTGAAGCGCTCTGCATGGAAATCTTGCTCCACGAGAACCTTGACAGCAACATCCTAAGATTAAGAGACGATTGGCATTAGACGAAGCCCGTGGATCACATCACTAAAAATGTAGGAGAGGTGAAGAACGATATGTATGATTTTCTTGGTGTTACAAACACCATAAGTGGGCTACCAGACTAAGTATTCAAGAGTGGACGAAAATGAAAAAGAACAAAAAGCACATCAGAAGACAAATTTGTGACTTCCACACTGTACAAGGTATTCTACCAAAGTACGCTGAAGATGAAGTGAAGACAGAATTTTCACCAGAAGCACTGAAGTAAAAGTTGACATGACACTTTTCTGAATCCTGTGTATAACCTGGTACTGGCAAATGTGATTAGAACCACTGAAACATCATGACCTAGATAACCCAGCTAGAGAAACAGAAAAGAACCAGGAAGAACTAAGAATGACAGTGAAAATGTCCATTGGAAATTTAAGAACAGGATTTCCAGTAATCAAACAATAAAAACTCGACAAAACTTTAAAAATCAACTACTCAAGTTTGCTGCACCTCAAATCCAATGATCATACAATGCATGACTTCAATAGAAACCAAAACTGGAAGGCAAATTGACAAGAAAGCTAATTTTGACGTATAAATCAACTAGATAAGTGAAAATCGAAACAAACAAAACATTGGCAGACACAAAGTAATAGGATTTATTTGAGTCAAAGCATTGTACTACTGACTTTGATTCAAGACCAAAATTTTAATTCTAATAAGCCTTCTGCACACAACTTTTGTGTACAAAAATTTACCACATTACACATTGATACGACAACCACATCCAAAGAGAAACCAAAACCTTCTTAAATATAGATGAAGGCTATTATTGGCCTATCACATATGCTATGCCTTTGGAATTTCTAGGTCATAATTATTCATGAATTAGTTGCAATCGTTTATGATTCCCCAAACAAAATGGGTTTTTTGATATTATTGAACTTAATTCTCGCATATTGATTGAAGCTTTAGTTTAATGTGTATCAATTTGATTACCATTGAAAAAATGAAGGACCTTTTTCACTTTATATAAACCTGCTTTTAAGAGATTCATCATACCAGCAAACATTATTTTTTTGAAGACTCTACATTTGTCTCATAACCTTTCAACTGCACCAGCAGCAACTGAGGTAAGGAAACAATACATGAATAGATGATGCCCATAGTCTCCTCTCCTTAATTAAATTGAAAAGACAAATGGTCAGACAAGTGGAGTGAAGGACACTGCCAGAGGGATACCCAAAGATAAGACCTACAAGTCACAAAATGCTAAGAATCCTCATTAGGTTATTCAAAGGAAAAAACATAACTTCAACAATTTAAGCACAATTTCAATGTACCAGTCAAGAAAAACTTTGTTGCACCCATTGAGTTATTCATCTCAATTCATTTCTCAGTTGATCCCTCAACTTGTCAATCAGACAACTTTTTGGTGATCGTCTTCACTTCCCTAAAGCAACAGTGAAACATCGCATTGACAGTCATTCGAAATGAGTAATCCTCGAACTCACCTCTAGTACAGATTCCTACCTTCTCTCATCATAGAAACACACACTAAGCCATCATGTTTCTTGCATCTGCATACATGATACTCCTGGCAATAGGCATCCAGCACCTTTGGTAGGACATACACACTAATCTCTCATTTTATGTTAACGTTTTAAGATCCAACTGCTTGCTGCAAATAGAAGGTAGCATTTCTGTACCATATCCTAGATCCCCTCCATGGTCGAAAAAAGAACAAAAAAACAATGAAATGCGGATCAGTCCCTGGTCTTTCATATGACTGCCTGAACACTTTAGGAGCTAGGTTAGCTGACACCTTTTTATTAACATGCCAGAACACTGCCTTAATGTCATGCTGCTTTGTTATTGAGATAGTGTTACTAGTGTAATTGTGGACAACAAACAACATTGTTCTTTCATCCTAACCAGGCATTATTTGGGTTGTACTCAATAGCATCTTCCAATCAAGTATGTTAAAGTAAGAAACTAGGTGATGTAGATCGTATTAGGGAAGAATTAGGGATGAGAAGGGAAGAAAAAAGGGGTGAGAAAAGAAGAAGAAGGAGATGAGAATAGAGAGAATTTTAGAAAGAAGATGCAATATCAATAATCAATAATCAAAGTCTACCAAAACAAATAACATATCTCCTATATATATATATATATATATATATATATATAGGGAGACCACAAATCCTAAAAGAACTCTAAAAGAAATAAATAGTCATAATGACAACTAAACCCCTGAAAAATATAATGACAAATAACTCCTAATCCTTACGCCTACGCCTACTATAACGAAATATAATCCGATTCCTATCATTTTCCCCCGGCTGAAAAGAACTCGCCTCCGGAGAGATACAATCATGATAATGCTCTAAAAGATTAGGGTCAAGCCAACGAAACTCCTCCTCAATAATCCATGAATCATCAGTCTCTGGATGATCTCTCCACCGAATAAGATAACAACGATATCCTCCATCCGAGGAGCCCACAATCTGATCAAGTACATCTGCGATATGGTCATGTAACTGTGGTGAAAACGGTGGAAGAATAAGAACAGTAGTTGATGCTGATGACGAAGCAAGTCCACCTGTAGGAACACTTGCTGGAAACATAGGAGGCTCAAAAGTACCATGATAAGGAAACAAGTCCTCCACATTGAAAATAGGATTAATACTCATATTCGAAGGTAAGTCAAGGTGATATGCATTAGGTCCAAGCTTACGAAAAAGGCCAATGGCTCGAGCATGTAACTTTTTGAAAGAATTTTTAGGATAACGTTTAGGACGCACACGAACCATGACATAGTCTCCCACAATAAATTTTTTATTCCTACGATGAATATCTGCAACCAATTTATAATTCTCATTATTTAATATAAGTTTCTGTCTTATGTTGGCATGCAAGTCATGAATATGCTGGACAAAAGCTTCGGCTGAGTGTGAGGGGCAGGAATCAGGAGGTAAAGGTAATAAATCAATGGACTGTCTAGGGGAATGGCCATAAATAATCTCAAAAGCGGATAGACCAGTCGACCTGTGGACGGAGTTATTATAGGCAAATTCAGCAGTAGGCAACAACAAATCCCAATTTTCCATCTTCTCACCCACTAGACACCCAAGCAAATCTCCTAAGCTACGATTGACTAACTCAGTTTGACAATCAGTTTGGGGATGAAAGACAGAGAAAAACTTAAGACTAGTTCCAAAAATTTTTCAAAGTGCTTCCAAAAATAACTCACAAACTTGACATCCCTATCAGACACAATGGAAATAGGCAACCCATGTAGTCGGACGACCTCTCTAAAACATAACTTTGCTACATGTGAGGCATCAGTAGACTTAGTGCAAGGAATGAAATGGATTTAACAAGAAATTGGGTAAGCTAAGTTATGAAGGTGATGTGTGGAAACAACAAACAAAGAAGGTTCTGAAAGTGGTATGTGAGAACAACAAACAAAGAAAGTTTAGGTTTTTTTTTTTGTTTGACTTACCAACAAATGTAAATACTAATCACTAATTCTCAACGAAAAGAACTCGTACCTGGTGTTAGATGCAACTCCAAGAGGATGTTTGATAACTTAGGGGATGACCCTACAAAGTGTAGAACTTTCTGGGGTGTTTCTACAATTTCTGAAACTTCTGGGGTGATATTTCTGTAATTTTCTGAACCTGTTGGGGTGTTTCTGTAATACTGAAATTTCTGGATGATACTTCTGTAATTTACTAGAACTTTTGGGGTGATTCTGTAACTTTCGGAAACTTCTGGGGAGGTTCATGTAATTCTGGAACTTTATGGGGGTGAAAGGGTTAAAACTAATGTCTTCTTCTTTAACATGATGAAACGAGGAAGAAGATGGGCAGTAATGAAGTCGAAGCAGCACAGGTCAACGACGAAAACAAGCGCAATGAATAGTAACAACGATGAACAGTGCATAATTATTTTTTTTTTTTAGAACAGGAACGATGAACAATAAGAATCTGCTAAAGTTTTTTTTTTTTTTTTTACCTGGACAGCCGGTGAACAGTGCCTGTGAACAGTGATTTCGCGCGAACAGTTTTTTTTTTTTCGATGAACAGCAATGTTGAGATTTTTTGTGATTTATACGAATCGAAATTAGGCTCTGATACCAAATTGATATAGATCGTATTAGGGAAGAATTAGGGATGAGAAGGGAAGAAAAAAGGGATGAGAAAAGAAGAAGAAGGAGATGAGAATAGAGAGAATTTTAGAAAGAAAATTCAATATCAATAATCAATAATCAAAGTCTACCAAAACAAATAACATATCTCCTATATATATATATATATATATATATATATATATAGGGAGACCACAAATCCTAAAAAAACTCTAAAAAAAAAAATAGTCATAATGACAACTAAACTTCTGAAAAGCATAATGACAAATAACTCCTAATTCTTACGCCTACGCCTACTATAACGAAATATAATCCGATTCCTATCACTAGGCCATGTAACTGACAGCCCCAATCAACTGCATGAGATTCTTTCACTTAACTCTTGGTATGTCATTAATAATTTACAGCTTCTAGTATAACAACCCGAACACAACGTCAAAATAGTGTCCACTTTGCTTGTAGGATGATGCTTTAAGACGTCATTTAATGGTTAAGATTCTGCGACCACATTTATGTTCCAACTGATTTCAACTCGGGCAATATGAGACTTACATGGACTTGGCACCCTCACCTCAGTCATATTAAACTGAAGCATTAGGAGTCTTGGCCTATTAAATCTGGGTCTCCATAATCTACACCTTAAAGGGCCACATGTCCTTATGGGGCCCGCCCCACACCTCTGATAAAGAGCCAGCTCTTATACCCTTCCATAATGCCCGAAACGCACCATCAAAAAGTTGTCCACTTTGGTCATGTATTCATGGTTCTCAAACGCATCTTAATGGTAAAGTATTAATGACAAAGGATAGAGTCCAACATTTTTTTCTCTACATTCTAAGTCTTAGTGGCTAAGTATCTGGACGTGGCACCTTCACCCTCAACTCATCTCACCTCACCAAACCTCGACACATCATAGCCTGAAGCCTCAGGAGTGCTTGCATGTTGGATCTGGGTCACCACATAGAGCATCACCTAGTATTCATTTTGAAGCAATGTCTATCCTCATCAATCAAATTCATTGTGTATCTTATGTTTATAACAAATAGATAGTAAATTTGAAAATTCATAGGTCATAAATACTAATTTCGAGCACAAATGTCTTAGCAGAAGCAACCAACTAAACACAGTTCAAGCGAGTTTAGTGTGGTCTTGATCCCAACTCGCTTAATATTTAATGACTTCAATGGTCCTAAATGCATTTCAAATACTTTTAGTACAGGTTCATACGTATAAGATATAAATCAGCCAACACTCAGTTCTGGTGGTTCTAATTCACTGCATTCTCGCTAGCTATCATTTGGAAACCATACTTGCAGGTCGCTTGTCAAATTTGGAGCTGATTCCTGCCATTGTATCTAAGTTGTTCTTTTGCAACTCATGTATTTGTTTTTTTGTCCTCCCAACTTATATGAGAGCATTCATTAACTCAAGTCAACATGCACATCCCAGACTCTAATTATGTTCAGATATGGCTCTATGGGGATAAGACAGCTTAACACAATATGTTTAAGATTGTGAACATAAGAACAAGGGGAAAAAATTTCTTACCAAACCACGCCACTCAGCACGGCAAACTGTTCCAAAAGAACCTGAAACCAGTATGTTTCATTAGTAAAGATTATCTCTTACACTATTGTTACACAGAAACTACTTTGCCTGATATATTCTTAAAAGTACTCGAATTTCATGATATAAAACTACTCGCACTTCAGGATATTCTTAAAGCAGTAACAGAAACCTTCACCAATTTTCTCCTTTAATTCAAGATCACTCCATTGGATGTCAAAATCCTCCTCGATGAGAGAAAGTTCATGACTTGATTTACAGCTTGCTAACTGATTTGCTTCCACGAAACTCGGTCTATGTGGTGTCGGTAGAATCTGATTGGGTGCAGAGCCTTTGCCCAAGTGTGTGGAGCTTATACCATTTGGAAAAGGTTTATAAGAATTTTGCCCCTGGAAATCTTTAATAGGCCAAGCAGCCCTTTGGGGCAAAGCTGATGTGGAAGATTCACAGATACTGCTTGAAACGGGATCAAAGTTGTTCCTGTCAATTTGATTCATTTTATAAGGATTATGGAACTGAAGATGTGCACTATTGTCTTGATCAGTAGCAATACCTGTCATGATCAGCACAAAAATTTTAAAAATTATCAGGGATAAATCAATGGTCATGCAGGACAGTTACTTCGTAAATACCCATTCATGCATTACTAGCATACTATAATTTTTTCACTTTTTTTTTTCATGTGAGGCACATCATGTGAACATGTGGAACACCAATCCGAACACCAGCACCAGTGTTACATACTTTTTTTTTTTTTTTTGGGAGCTTGCCATGTAGGACCATAGTTATTAGTGTCGTATGATACGCGATACGTATTGTACGATACGTCACGATATACCTTAAAAACGATACGTATCGTATCTCTGTATCGTTTTTGTATTGTATCGTATGATACACGATACGATACATACGATACAATATGTTCGATACGTACGATAAGTGATAATTCAATTTTTTTTTTTTTTTGGTTTTTTGGGGCTGAAATGACATTATTTTACCTTAGAACTTATTTTTAAATCTCTAACCAGTGAAATAACGTCGTTTTAGTGGTTATGGTTTAAAATAAATAAAATAAAGTCTGTTGTTAATGTTGTTTAATTGAATTCAAAATTCTTGATTAATATTAAGGTTGTTCAATCAACTAATATTAAAAGTTTGAATTAGTGGCATTTGCATTTTGATATTACTGAAGTATGTTGAAAACTTGAATAGTTGATAGAATATTAACGAAATGCAAGCAACTAATATTAAAAGTTTGAATTAGAGGCTTTTGCATTTTGATATTACTGAAGTATGTTGAAAACTTGAATAGTTGATGGAATATTAACAAAATGCTATGTTATTACGAGTCTATGACTTTTTTACAAAGGTATATATATATATATATATTTTATTAATAATTATTTAAAAATTAACATTGCGCGTATCTTACGATACACGATATATGATAAGATACACTATTTTTGAAAAACGATACGCCTTCCGATATGCGATTTGACAACTATGCGTAGGACACTCACACCTGATTTAAGTCCTTGTTACACATTATTCACAGAAACCATAACAGAGGATGAAGATTTGATCATCAACACCAACCATTCACATAAAAAAAAAAAAATCTGCAAAATATATACAAGACATAATCGAACAAAAAAGCACTCCATTGCATCATCACATATAATTCCTCATGTAAAATAAATATGACAAAAGGCTTGGTATGGTTTGGCTTCGTTTGGTTAATATCGAACCAGGACACCATAACACAAGAATCTCTGCAGTTCTTGTAAGATGTATAAAGGAAGAAAATAGAACATTACCCGAGGAAGCATCATCGAATGTTATATTAAGTGATTGGCCATCAGCAAAATACAATTTCGCCAACATCCTGAAGTTCTCACCAGCTTCAGCAGATTTAAACTTTGGATGACACAATGGAGAAGCAACTAGAACGGAAGTTGTACCATTAAGTAAAGAATCAGGTCGGCATAATTCTCCTGGCCTTCCGATCAGATCAACCAAAAATTCCCTGAAAATTGTATATACATTACATGACAAACACAAATATTTGAATTTTACTATTCGATAAGATTAAGTTACAAGGTAGGTATTAAGTCTACCTGATATCAAGAACCCATTAAGATAGACTACATTAAAACATCCAACTAAAAAAAAATTGGCAATGAGTAAAGAGACTCACATAACTCACATAGTAGTTCGGACAGCTTTATTAATATTGACATGGGGCAAGTTCTACCACTCCCCCACATGTGCAACCCATATTCTCACAGAGAGAGATAGACAGAAGACATAACCAGAGACATATCTAATTGCAGTAACGGCACGGATAAAGGGGAACCAACAACCACATTGATGAAATTGTTATGAGTAATCATTGTCCAAAGCCTCCCGAAATCCAGCTTTGATATGTTGAAACATCCAACTCAAAACCAATTGAAAGTTAGTTGGGAAGATCACAAGGTTCATATGCTAGCTTGAACAATGAGAAGTGTTATTATATCAACGAGGTACAAGTTGTTGCATGGCACGCACCCATTTATATGAACAACGATAGTCTCAACAAACATCTAGATAATGAGCTTAAAGAGGAACCGTTAATTTGATGTCTTCCTAATTAGTAAATAATGATGCTGTCTCAAGAATAGCCACAAAAAGTAGCTTTTAAAAAGGAAAATAACAACAGCTATCATTTCATCAGCATTATTAATGATTTGTTCAAAATTGAGGCGGGATTTCTATGGTTCATAGCACGTGAAGGATTCTAAAGTCAAAGTTGTGTATAACAGATTGCCAACCAGATTAACAACTTATCGGACCACATAGTTTTATGTTGGACAGAAGAGTGGTGCACAAGCAACATGTACCTAATACTGAGTTCTCTCTCAAAAGTGAGGCTGGATTTATACAGTTAATAGCAAGTGAAGGATTTCTAGGGATAAAATTGTGTAGATTGAGTCGCCAAGAATCACCAGACCACATAGTTTTATGTTGGACAGAAAAGTGGTGCAAAAGCAATATGTACATAATAATGAGTTATCTCCCAATTGCAAAATTATTGAGTATTGTGAACAGACCAAGGATCAAAATTTTGTTTTCGAAATGGTTGAAACGTTTCCGTTTCCAAGGAGACGGAAACGAATCAGCGATGAAATCGAAATTCTAATACTTCGAGGTGTTCCATAATATTTCGAAATATTTTGTTATATTTCAATGCATTTTCACAATTGTTTCGAAATGTTTCAAGTTATTTCAAGTTATTTCGGTATATTTCAACCAATGTTTTGAAAAAATAAGTCTTACATTTTTTATTTTTTTTCATTCCATTTCCGAGACAAGTCGAAACGTTTCGAAACACATTGAAACGTTTTTGTTTCTTAGGTGGCCGAAACAATGCACACAAATGAAATTTTGATCCTTAGAACAGACACTTGAGGAGTGTCTTGGGGGGAATCTGTGCCATACGACAGACCTCGGATAATATAAGGGTAAAACAAATAGCCGATCCAGATTTTCATCAACCATTTCCCAGTCATTCTACTCTATGATGTAAACTGCACTCCCAGCCTAAAGCTGCTCATGTACACTCATGATTTAAGGAAGTTCCCTCCCAACATCTCAATTGACCTTAACAAAGATAGGATTTGGCAGAATTAGAGGTTTCTAACATCCAACAGCCTACATTAGATTTGGAACACAAAGATACATGCTTATGCTGATTAACCTTTTGGCACACCAGACAACCCAACTAACCCATGATATTGGTCATAGAACCCTGTGAGATGAAGCTTCCTTCATGCAGATATGCAAGTAATGGTGAGAATACTATTGCTTTCAAGAGTCAAAAAGGAAAATGCACAAAACCCTTTGGTATACACCATCTCTCATAAACCTTTCCTGTTTTGAGATATCATAATGCCTATAAGTCATAACTGTTAAATTTAGAGTAGAGGCAAACTAAACACAATATGGGAAAGACAGAGAGAGGTTTTAACTTACCCAAGATCTCACTATCAACTTGTATTTATAGTTACTGAACAAACATGTAAAGTATACTCTTTGTATGGTATGCATATTACAATAAGTGTGAATCCCAATAATATTATAGTAATACTCTTAACACTCCCCCTCAAGTTAAATTATGTATATCGTTTAATTTAAGCTTGGAACAGATGGTTGTAAGACAAGTACAACTCAATTTAAGCCTCAGATCTCACAAATGGAGTTTCAATATCTCCATTTAGTATCTTGTCTCGAATAAAGTGACAATCAACTTTAATATGTTTGGCCCCTTCATGAAACACTAGATTGGCAGTAATATGAAGAACTACTTGATTTTCATAGTGCAACTGTAAAGGAAGTTAGACTGGAAAGTCAATTTTCCGAAGAAAATGTAGTAATCATATCAACTCACTAGTGGTATGTGTCATTGCTATATACTTAGCCTAGCACTGGATAGTGTTATCATTGTTTACTTCTTACTTTTCCATGAAATTATGTTACCTCTCAAGAAAGTACAATAACCAGTGGTTAATCTCCTATTCGAGAAAAAATCAATCCAATCAGAATCTGAACAAATCTTCCACTCTTAGATGTCCATTAACTTGATATAATAACCCAAGAACAAGAGCTCATTTGAGATATCGAAGAATGCGAATGACTACATCTCAATGTGGCACTCTAGAGTATCCCATAAACTGACTTATCACACTAACTCCATAGGTAATTTTTGGTTGGGTAATAGTGAGATAATTAAGATTCTCAACAACCTGCGGTACCGACCTAAATTCTCAAACGGTGCACTATCATCCATCAGCAACTTTTGATTCGAATCTATAGGGACATCAATTGGTCTGTCACCTAGCAAACTTGTTTCTTCTAGCATATCGAGTANTGTTTTGAGATATCATAATGCCTATAAGTCATAACTGTTAAATTTAGAGTAGAGGCAAACTAAACACAATATGGGAAAGACAGAGAGAGGTTTTAACTTACCCAAGATCTCACTATCAACTTGTATTTATAGTTACTGAACAAACATGTAAAGTATACTCTTTGTATGGTATGCATATTACAATAAGTGTGAATCCCAATAATATTATAGTAATACTCTTAACACTCCCCCTCAAGTTAAATTATGTATATCGTTTAATTTAAGCTTGGAACAGATGGTTGTAAGACAAGTACAACTCAATTTAAGCCTCAGATCTCACAAATGGAGTTTCAATATCTCCATTTAGTATCTTGTCTCGAATAAAGTGACAATCAACTTTAATATGTTTGGCCCCTTCATGAAACACTAGATTGGCAGTAATATGAAGAACTACTTGATTTTCATAGTGCAACTGTAAAGGAAGTTAGACTGGAAAGTCAATTTTCCGAAGAAAATGTAGTAATCATATCAACTCACTAGTGGTATGTGTCATTGCTATATACTTAGCCTAGCACTGGATAGTGTTATCATTGTTTACTTCTTACTTTTCCATGAAATTATGTTACCTCTCAAGAAAGTACAATAACCAGTGGTTAATCTCCTATTCGAGAAAAAATCAATCCAATCAGAATCTGAACAAATCTTCCACTCTTAGATGTCCATTAACTTGATATAATAACCCAAGAACAAGAGCTCATTTGAGATATCGAAGAATGCGAATGACTACATCTCAATGTGGCACTCTAGAGTATCCCATAAACTGACTTATCACACTAACTCCATAGGTAATTTTTGGTTGGGTAATAGTGAGATAATTAAGATTCTCAACAACCTGCGGTACCGACCTAAATTCTCAAACGGTGCACTATCATCCATCAGCAACTTTTGATTCGAATCTATAGGGACATCAATTGGTCTGTCACCTAGCAAACTTGTTTCTTCTAGCATATCGAGTACATATTTTTGCTGAGACTGACAAATACCCTATTTAGATCTAACAAATTTAATACCTAAGTAGTACTTGAGTTTTTCCTGATCCTTAGTATGAAATCTATCTTGCAAGAAGGCTTTTAACTTGGTAATACTCTCGAAATCATTCCTAGTAATTATAATATCATTAACATAAATAACTAATAAAGTGTAACCTGCATCTGTCTGTCTATGAAAGACTGAGTGATCTGCCTAACATCGAAGAAGGCCAAATTCTACTACTGCATCTGAAAACTTACTAAACCATGCCCTAGGTGACTACTTCAAACTATACAGCGATTCCTTTAGCCGGTAAACACTCTTATAGTACTCCCCTTGAGCAGTAATCTCAGGTGACTGCTCCATGTAGACCTTCTCAGCCAAGTCAATATGTAAAAAAGTATTCTTGACATCTAACTAAAACAAGGTCCAATCAAGAATAGCAGCCAAAAAAATTAAGACACGAACAACGGAGATTTTGGCAACAAAAAAAAAGTCTTCTCATATTCAACACCATAGGTTTGAGTAAAGCCCTTAACAATAAGACAGGTTTGGAGACGCTCAACAGAACCATCTGGATTAAATTTAACAATATAAACTCATCGATAACCAACAGTCCGTTTACCAGGCAGTAAGGGAACAAAATCCCAAGTTCCATATGATGTAAGGCCTCTATATCCACTTCCATAGCTTTCTTCCAACCCGGATCAGACAATGCACCTAGTAAGATCTTAAGAATAGAGATAGCAAGCAGTTGAGAGATAAAACAGTAGAAGGCAAGAGACAATGTGACATAAGAAACAAAATTAGTAATTTGATGGTTAGTAACACACGGTCTAGTACCTTTCCAAAGGGCAATAGGTAAAGAGCCAAAAATACCTGAGGGGCGAGGAAGAGCAAAGAAGATGATTGGGGCACCTCAGTCGAAGATCGCGCACAATGAGAGTTTACTTGAGCGAAGAAGTAGATGGTAACACAATAGGCAGTAGAGTAACTGATAGTAAGAGGAGGTGGTGGTGAAGTGGCCGGCCCAAAGTCAAGATCCAGAGGCTAATCAAGAGCCAGAAAATATGAAACAGATTCATTAAATGTGACTTCAGCACTAGTGAAGTACCAACGAAGGGTAAGACTATAGCAACGATATCCCTTCTGTGTGCGAGAGTATCCAAGGAAGACACATTTGTTACCACGAGGGTCAAGTTTATCAATTTTAGACTCCAAGTTATGAACATAACAGACACATCCAAAAACCTTAGGGATGAGAGAGATTAAGGGAGTATTGGGTATGTCTATATAGCACAAAAGACGACACACGATTGATAAGATGACAAGCAGTAAGAATAGCATCACTCCAAAAATAACGAGGAACATGCATCTGGAATAATAACAATGTGCGGTTAACTTCTAACAGATGTCAGTTCTTATGCTCTACAACACCATTCAGTTAAAGGTATAAGCACATGAAGTTTGATGAACAATGCTAATTTTACAAAGATAAGACGAAAAATGATCAGATTAATATTTATGAGCATTATCAGAACGTAAAATACGAATACGACAACCATATTGGATTTTTATTACTTTACAAAAGGTCTCAAATACATAAAATAATTTAGAACGAGCTTTCATAAGAAATAACTAAATCACACGAGAATAATCATCCACAAATATCACAAAATAAGAAAATTTATTAGATAAAATATTTTTTAGTGAACCCTATATATCAAAATGAACTAACTCAAATGGACTAAACACACGATTATTGACTCTAGACGGAAAGAACATACGATGATGCTTACTAAGTTGACAAGTTTTACAAGACACTGACACATGACTAAGATTAGGAATTTAATGCTTTAGATTCTAGAGAGAAGGATAACCAAGATGGCAATGTCACTGAAAAGGAGATGATAAGGTCTGAAGGGCCCAAGGAAATGGATTAGGGTCAAAGTAATAGAGACTACCAACTTAATGCCCGGAACCAATTTTCCTCTTCGTTTGAAGATACTAAAACACACAATAAGAAAGATAAAAGGTTACGAAACAATTAAGAGAACGAGTAATCTTGCTAATGAAAAGTAAGCTAAAAGGGAATTAGAGAACAAATAAGACGGATGATAAGGACATATCAGGATTCAATTGAGTAGTCGCCAAACTTGAAACTTTAGAGAAAGTATAATTAGTAAGAGTAACACTATGTGGGAAAGTAATAGGCTGATAAGTAGAAAAGACACTGCACGAACCAGTCATGAAGTTAGAAGTGCTGGAATCTATAACCCAGGAATTGTGAGTAAAGGTAGTAAACAAGTAGAAACAGTACCTAGTTGGGCAAAAGAAGCATTGAAGGAAGATGGAATAGCCTGCTGCAGAGACAGGAACTGAGCATACTCCTTTCGGGTAAGAATAACTGACCCAAAGTCAGGTGAAGTCGACCGAGGTATAGAAATAAGTAAAGAGGGAATTTCAACGAGCTCTAGGGTTTCTATGAAACTCCTTGCATAAAGAAGGCAACCCTTTGGGTTTGGTGGGTTAGCTCCTTTCGGGTTTGGGGGGTTAGCTCACTTGGTCTTTGGGTCATAACAAATCAATGGATCATGGGTCGTTTTAATTGACTCGATGCTTTTTTAATTGTCATCCTAATAGGAGACCTTATTAGCAACGCCCGAAGGCTTGCCATGTAAATTCCAACAATAATCAATAGTGTAGCCTTCATGACAACAATGAGTGCATGAACGAGAACTAGGTCGACCTCCGCAATCTCCAGCACGGCCTCCCTGACTTCCACAACCAATGCGATGACCACAACCACCTCAAGGACTATCATTGTGGCCATTAGAAATAATAAGAGCTAAGCGGTTAGTGGACAAGCCATGATCAATGCCTGAAGAACCAGTAGACAAGGTAGTATGTTGTAAACTGAAGAAAACCGCAAACAGAGACTAAAGACTAGAACCACCCAAAATCTGAGAGTCAATATGCTCATATTCTGGTTTCAGACCTATCAAAAAACGGACAACATTCAAATTCTCATGTTGTTTCTACCAAACTACTGCTTCAATACTAAAACTAGTAGTAGAGCTTCAATTCTTCACAAACTCCCCGAACATAAAAATAATAATTCTCAAGACTCAAAGTACCATGCTCTAGGCAAAAATAATGTTTACACACATCAAATGTATTAGCAAAATTACCAGTGCCAAAACATATGGTGGCCAAGTGATCCCAAATTTTTTTTGACCGTGTCAAGCTAAAGCAATGTAAAGCTAATACTAAGGTCAATGCTATTTAATAATAATGAACTAATTTGAGCATCTTCTTGTTCCCATTGATCATACCCAGGAGTAACTTCCTTGGATTTAGTGTCCACTAAATATTTTTTAAAGCATTTGCCTCTAAGAAATACTTGGACCGATCACGACCATAAAACATAATTAGTTCCATTGAGCTTCATAGAAGTCATGAGACCAATACGAGGAACCATAGGAGAAAAGGTTGCTGGCACAGGTGGAGTAATGATAGACTAGTCATCATCATTGGATTCCATAGTGATAAAGAAATAATAAAGAAATGTCACCTAAGTGTGATTCGTACACAAAAAAATATTGGAATAAGCCAAAAATCACATAAACCAAGGCGAGCTGGCTTGATAGTTGCTGAACCTAACTGAACCAAGCCTGAATTGTGCAAAACCAGGTCTAAACCAACCTGGAAGGTGCTGAACCAGACTGAACCAAGTCTGAACCGGCTTAGGAATGACAAAATAACGCTAAACTAGTTGTTGAACTGGTTGAACCTAACAGAACTCCACTGAACTGATTTGAAAAACCACTGAACAGGTTTGAAAACCCCCTAAACTGGCTTGAACCGATCAGAAACTCCTTTGAACCGGAAGGAATTTGCCTAAACCGGTCAGGTATGTACCTAAACCGATCTGGTTTGGACTGGACTGCGAATCTGGTCTGATTTGGACTAGATCGCGAATCTGGTCTGGGCTGGGTTGAGTGGGTTGTGGGCTTTGAACCCTAAACGAACTGAATTGGGATGCTTGAGTTTGATTGGACTTTGATTTGAAAAAAAGCTGAATTGGGTCCAAAATAAAAGCGGGTCAGGTTGATTAAAATGACCCATGATCCATTGATTTGTTATGACCCAAAAACCAAGTGAGCTGACCCACCAAACCCAAAAGGAGCTGACCCACCAGACCCGAAGGGTCATCTTCTTCACGCAAGGAATTTCACAGATCTTGACGGCAGCCACCAAGACTACTTCTTCACGTGATGGGTCTCACAGAAACCCTAGTGAGTGACGGCGGCTTGTAAGAGGAACGAAGCGCAAACTCACAGCTACAGATCAAAATTTTATTTCGGTACATTATTTCAGTCATCCAGGAAATAGAAACGTTTTGACGTGTTTTACAAATGTTTCGACTCGTTTTGAAAACAGAATAAAAAAAATTAAAAAATTAAAAATTATTTTTTTAAAAATATTGGTCGAAATATACCAAAATATCTTGAAACACCTTGACACATTCTAAAATAATTGTGCAACTACATTGAAATATAACAAAATATTTTAAAACATTATGGAACAGCTCGAAGTATTAGAATTTTGATTTTATCACCGATTCATTTTGATCTCCTTGAAAACGAAAACTTGTTAGATGTTTTGACCGTTTCAAAACAATATTTTGATCCTTACTCATAGCAACCACATCACCAAACAGCACCACCAGTAACAACCTCACACCACACCAATGGGAATCTCCATGTGAACCCACAGCAGCTAAACGACACTACCGGCAACAACACAACCTTATACCACAGAGCACTTTCGCGTCACAACACAGTGACTATATACATCACAGGCAATAGGAAGAGAAGTGATGCACTTCGACAATGACTCCGACGATCACTAGATCCACAAAACCACCAACAGCAATCAACACGACCATTAATACCATAACCACACGACCACCACGACCACATGGCCACCACAATCACCGACCACTACACCATCGGTTTCAACAACACCAATAACTTATTGGGTGCACGATTTCAATGCAAACCCATCACCTACCAATCATGGGATGCACGAGAACCAGAAAGAGTTCTCTTTGAAACTTCACAGAAAAAAAAAAAAAAAACAAAAGGCAAAAAGAAACAGAAAAATAATAATAATAATAATAATAATAAGATTATTAATGGCAGATTATACTTGGACCTAATTACTCTAATACCAGGTTAAGTTTAAAGTAGAAGTAGACTTAACACAATATGGGATAGGAAAATAGAGGTTTTAACTTACCCTATCTCTCACTATAAACTTGTATTTATAATTACTGAACAAACATGCAAAAGACTAGTATACCCCCGGCGTGGTATACATATTACAATAAGTGTGAACCCTAATAATATTATAATAATACTCTTAACAATGACCATGATTCAAAGTATCAACTGTACCGTTACGACCAAGGATCAAAATTTCGTTTCGAAGTACCGTTTCGGTCAACTCAAAAATAGAAACGTTTCGGAAACACAACGGAAACGCAGAAAAAATATGGAAACGCATAGAAACACAAATGCAATCCATTAATTTATAAAGATATGCTAAATAATTTATTAATTCAACATATTTATTAGGTTAACATCAATTTATACAAGAATAAATTTAAATTTGAGGGAAAAAAAGGCTTGACTTGAGGCGAAAGTCACTTAAATTAGTTTCAAACACTTAATTTTTATGAAATAAACACATTTTTACATAATATTAAGGTCTTATAATACACATGAAATGCTAATGAGTACATACTTACATGGTTACATCCATTCCCCTGTGGAGTGTCGAGCAGGCTCATACATCGGTGTAGGCTCTGGGTAGCTACTTAGAGAAACTCCATATGTGACATAAATATGATGACAATAGTTACTCCAAATCATATTATTACGGTAATATAATCCAATTAATAATACTATTTTATTATAATACTAATAATGAAGGGTATCAAATTAAATTAATGATACTTATGTATACTTAAAAATTAAATGTAATTGCAGTGGGTATTAAATGTAATTACAGTAGGTATTAAATATAATTACATTAGGGTATTAAATGTAATTGTTAATACTTATAACAAAAAAAAAAAACAAAAAACTTGCACAGCAGTGAGGTATTAAATATAATTACAGTATGTATTAAATATAATTATAATGGGTATTAAATATAATTATAGTAGGGTATTAAGTGTAATTATTTATTCTTATAACAAAAAAATTATAAAAGACAGAAGAGCAGTGGGAATTAAATGTAATTATAGTGGGATATTAAATATAATTATAGTGAGTATTAAATGTAATTACAGTGGGTATTAAATGTAATTATAATGGGGTATTAAATGTAATTATTCATAATGAACCGAATATATCACTGTTTTGTCGAAACGGTTCGAAACAATGCCGTTTCGACCGAAACGGTCCGAAACAGTACCGTTTCGACCGAAACACTGGAATTTTGTGATTCAACTACTGTTTCGTTTCGGAGTGTTGAAATTCCGAAACGTTTCGGACGTTTCGGACGTGTCGACACGACATTTTGATCCTTGGTTACGACTTAACTGAATCATATCTACAACATTGCCTTCCATTCCGAGATCGAAGCATGTTCAATGTAAATGACAAGCCTCACTCAAGTCGTGGTCGACTCGGAGACATCTCATACAGCTGACTAAGTCATCCAAATCATCATCATAGAATCACATTGTATCATCCGACACCATTCTGTAATGCCACGGTACGGCCTGAATCTCCAAAATATTCAACTTCTTTTTGTGTATATAGCCCAATACCGTTCCACAAAGCGCATCCGATCTGCCTCAGTGTCATCCAACTTCATGCCGATGTCATGACTCTTAAACCATGGTCGTAGCCTATTAAACTACCTTTTATGGTTTTCACTTCTTGGTCTATGAAAATGGTTCTTGTACCTTCACCTAGACCCCTACTTATAGGAAAGACCTATTTAGTCTCACCTTTTATGCACTAAACATTATCCGTGACCGTGACCGTGACCGTGACCCAGTTCCATGAAAACCCTTCCTCTTGTAGCACGTTTGTAAGGGTCTTCAGTCCATGCTTTGCAGCTCCCCTAGAGACTCAGACACTGTGGAGTTCACTTGACCAGATTTTTACCAGAACCATTTCTAGTTTTCTAAAATTTAATTAGCTGTACCAATGTAAGATAAAACTAGCACAAATATGTACCTGTCCAGACCAAATCGCACCAGACATGAGGAAGCACATTCCCTCCCACAATATTTACAGCCCTTAGCTATTCGACATGGTAAGTTAACTATGTCTGCCAACACCTGCAAGCATTGACTTTTCAGGTTAATGGAAAGCACTTGGAAAAGAATTCAATGATTTAGGATCAATAAAGAAACATAAGGTTCATCAAACATAAATTAGAAGAACATCAGTTGGGACCACTGATTAGATGAATAAGTTAGCTTGTATTCAACATTAAAAAAGAAAGACACCATCAAATTAAAATTAAGTTGTGAGGATTACTTTAAAAAGTAGGGCCCGATGAACACAAGACCCAACAGATAATCTTCCAATTGGAATCACAATAGAGCCTAGACAGTCCTTCAAAACCTGAACGCGCTCTTTCCATCGGTTCTCCAAACAATCTTCTCCAGTAGAAGCTATGCCCCTTATGACCACAATGAAAACTTAAGAGTATAAAGCAAATTATATTCAACCTGATAATCCAAAGGTGGAAGGAAGTGGAGTACTCACCCCAAGCGCTTACATACAAGCTCTGCAAGGTGATCAACCACCTCTTTCTGAGTGGTCCAGCTACTATAAAGGCCGAGCACCTTATTTAGCAGTTCCCTTAAACTAGGATCCCTAGATTTATCAACTAAAACCACTTCAATAGGGAAATCATTACAAGGGTTAACAGCTTTCAACAATTCAAAAGATGGGACCCGACCAGTTTCATGGAGATCAGTACTTATGGTCCATACATATGGATCCATCCCATGGATCAGGTAAAACCCATCTCGAACTTTGTCATAGTATGACAGGCATCCAGTCACCTGTTGCAAACAAAAATAGATGGCAATATAGATATTACCGGCACACATAAAGCAAGCATAAACTGATAAAGTTATGATGATAGTTGTTCAAGTGCATAGTCTGTAGCATTAAAACATAAGCAACTAAACATCATTTAAACAATTTATTAAATAATGCATCTACGCATTTTACATTACCGGAATAGTGCTTATACATATCTGCTCAGAACAAGTTGAGAAGGACCATACAACTCTTGGCTCAACGTAAGACACAAGTACGTAAACTATGTACAAATCTATATAGCCTTTTTTGTCGGAATAAAAAATTTAAGGTAAAATTTATTTTATACCTGTTGCATGTTGGAATTACTCCAATGTTACTTTGATTGGAAAAATAGCTCTAATACCACTTTGTTAAAGTCAAGAGGATTAGAAATAAAATAGAAAGCAGGAAAGGAGGATATGAACACTCAATGAAAAAAAAATTCATTCAATTCGATTACAACCATTGTCAACATGATACGCTCCATGTTTCCTTATTTAGTTCTCACCAGTTGTACAATTGTATTTCCTTATTTAGTCAGAATCTGTATGCAGACATAGTTTCCTTTAGTATAGACAGCTTTAATTGCTGTAATTTAGGCTTGATTGTAATTTAGGCTTGATTCTAGCCTTGTATATTGCACATTTGTGCCTATATAATAAGAGGAAATCCTCACAGAGGTGATATTGAATCCATTTTGACATGGTATCAGAGCTATTTGTTTAGATTCTTCTTGGTTTTTCTCTCGGTTGCCTGGGTTCTTAGTTTCTTGGTTGGGTTTCTTCCTCACAGTATCAAGGATGTCGGAAACCTCTCTATAGGTTATGTCGGCAGTCTCTGTGTGAATTTTAAAGATTCATTCTTGGTTGTTAGGTCTCTTTGTGGGCTGTCAGCAGTTTCTATTGAAAGTTTTGGGTATGGGAATTGTTAGGCTGTCCGAAATCTATCAATTTTCCGTGCAGCTCTCTCTTCCTTTTGGGTTATTGGTAGTTTTTGTGGGTATCAGAATACTCTGAACTGGTTTATCACCGTTTTCTGTGGGTATCGGGATTTTCTGTTGCACTTGGCTGGGCAGTGAAAGTCGTATTTTTTTAAAATTTGGCCATCATGTCTTCTGATTCTTTTGTGGTGAAATTCACGGATAAGAACTATTCTGCCTGGGAATTTCAATTTCGTTTATTTGTTATGGGGTCACATTGATGGCAGTGATCCAGCTCCTACTGATGTTCCTAAATTGACTTCGTGGCAGACCAAAGATGCTCGGGTGATGACATGGATTTTAGGTTCAGTGGATCCTCTTATTGTACTTAATCTGAGGCCATATAAGACTGCTCAATCTATGTGGGAATACTTAAAAAAAAGTATATAATCAAGACAATAGTGCACGACGTTCTCAATTAGAGTACGAGATTGCTAGTTACACTCAAGGTGATCTCTCTATTCAGGATTATTTTTCTGGATTTAATAATCTCTGGGGAGAATTTACTGACATTATTTATGCCAAAGTACCAGCAAAATCTTTCTCAGTTGTGCAGGAAATTCATGCGCAAAGCAAGCGAGCTCAGTTTTTAATCAAGTTACGACCTGAATTTGAAGCCACTCGCTCTAATTTACTGAATCGTAATCCGGTGCCATCTTTGGATGTCTATTTTGGGGAGTTACTTCGTGAGGAGCAGCGGCTTGCCACCCAAACCACTTATCAGCACGACAAAATGATACCCAATGCAGTGGCTTATGCTGCTCAAGGAAAAGGCGGACAATTCAATGCTTCAGCTGCAAGGAATATGTACACGGAAATCTTGCAACTGCTGTAAGAAGCCGGGGCATATTATCAAGGAGTGTCCTACTCGTCTCCAGAATCGTCAGGCTAATGCTTAGCTGGCTATTGTGGATTCCGCTTCGCCTACTACTACTACTAGTGACTCCTCCGTTCTTACTATTGAGAAGGTACAACAGATGATTATTTCTGCATTTTCAACCTTAGGACTGCAAGGTAACGATTCTTTTTCCCCCTCATGGATTATTGATTCAGGTGCATCTAATCACATGACTAGTTCTTCTGATACTCTTAGCAATGTTCGAACTTATACTGGATTGGCACACATTCAGATTGCTAATGGTAGTCAGTTACCTATTCATGCTATTGGGGATGTTGATTCCACTATTAGAGATGTTTTTGTATCTCCTCAGCTTTCTACCAGTCTTATTTCAGTTGGGCAATTGGTTGATAATAATTGCAATGTTCGTTTTTCTCGTGATGGCTGTTTTGTGCAGGATCAGGTGTCGGACAAGATACTTGCGAAGGGGCCTAAAGTTGGACATTTATTTCTTATGCATTTTTCCATTCCCGCTGTTATTTCGTTTGCTTGTAACACTGTGAACAATAAGTGTGAAGTATGGCACAAATGGTTGGGTCATCCTAATTCTGTTATTTTATCTCATGTAATAAACTCTGGTTTGTCGGACAATAAAGATCAATTTTCTTCTCCTCTCTCTTTTGATTGTTCCACATGCAAATTAGGTAAACATAAGTCTCTTTCTTTTCCTTCTCATGGTAGTCATGCTGAACGCTGTTTTGATTTGATTCATAGTGATGTATGGGGAATTTCTCCTGTTATCTCACATGCAAATTATAAATACTTTTTTACATTCATCGATGATTATACAAAGTATACCTGGATCTATTTTCTCCGTGCTAAATTTGAGGTCTTATCTGTTTTTCAACAATTCCTTNGGAATTTCTCCTGTTATCTCACATGCAAATTATAAATACTTTGTTACATTCATCGATGATTATACAAAGTATACCTGGATCTATTTTCTCCGTGCTAAATTTGAGGTCTTATCTGTTTTTCAACAATTCCTTGCCTATGTCGAGACTCAATTTTCTTCTGGCATTAAAATTCTGTGGTCTGATTCACGTGGTGAATACATGTCTCGTGAGTTCCATGATTTTCTCCAACAAAAAGGCATTGTATCCCAGCGTTCTTGTCCATATACACCTCAACAAAATGGTGTTGTTGAACGTAAAAATAGACATTCGTTGGATGTTGTTCGTACTCTATTGCTTCAATCATCTGTTCCACCTAAATTCTGGGTTGAAGCATTATCTACGGCTGTTTATTTAATTAGTAGATTGTCGTCCAAGATCTTAAATTTTGAAACTCCTTACTTTCGTCTTTATCATCAACATCCTAAATACCTTGACATGCATACTTTTGGTTGTGTTTGTTTTGTTCATTTGCCTTCTCATGAACGACATAAGTTATCTGCTCAATCTGTTAGATGCGCATTTATGGGTTATAGTACTTCACACAAAGGCAATGTTTGCTATGATCCATACTTTAATCGATTTCGTATTTCCTGTCATGTTGTGTTCTTTGAAAATCAGTCATTCTTTCCTTCTCATGATGAGTCCTTGCCTGAGATGCATGTTTTGCCTCATTTTGATGACTTGACTCCTTCTATTGACCGATTCAAATTTGGACTTCTATATGAAAGACGGCGACCTACTTTGCCCCTTCCTGAGCCTGGTCCGCCATCTGAGCCTGTTCAGACTGAATCCTATACGGGTGATCCGGATACTACCCCAGTTCCTCGTCGCTCAACCAGAGTGTCTCGTCCACCGGACCGGTATGGTTTCTCTCATACTTCTCTTCATGTTACTCTGTCTTCTATTCCCATTCTGTCAGATTATTCTGAGGCAGCTAAACATGACTATTGGCATGCGGCGATGGCCGAGGAACTTCGGGCTCTTCAAGATAATCATACATGGGATGTTGTTCCTTGTCCTCCTCAAGTGAAAGCTATTGGTTGCAAATGGGTCTATTCTATCAAGCTGCGTTCTGATGGCACTCTGGATCTATATAAGGCCCGGTTGGTTGCACTTGGCAATAGGCAAGAATATGGGGTGCACTATGAGGAGACTTTTGCTCCAATTGCCAAGATGACTACGGTGCAGACTGTCCTGTCTATTGCTGCATCCCAAGGTTGGCCTCTTCATCAGATGGATGTCAAAAATGTCTTTCTTCACAGTGATCTCAAAGAAGAGATATACATGACCATTCCACCTGGTTTGTCATCTTCTTCTTCTTCGGATGTCTGTAAGTTAAAACTATCATTGTATGCGCTGAAACAAGCTCCCCGGGCCTGGTTTGATAAATTTCGCTCCACTTTGCTCCAATTTTCGTTTCAGCAGAGTGCATATGATTCTTCTTTATTTTTCTACAAGACATCTATTCTCTTGGCATTGTTCTTCTTCTAATTTATGTTGATGATATTGTTATTATTGGAATGGACTCTAGCTTGATCACCCGACTGCAGCAACATCTTCAAGCCTCATTTCATACGAAGGACCTTTGTCCTCTTACATACTTCTTTGGCTTGGAAGTTTATACTGATTCCTCTGGCATTCTTTTGAATCAACATAAATATACTCGGGATCTGATTGCATTGGCCAGTCTTCAGGATACTTCTTCTGTGGATACTCCTATGGAAGTAAACATGTCGTCCGGAAGAGGGTGATCTCCTTTTCGATAGTTAGTGGGGAGCCTAAACTACTTAACCATTACTCGACCTGATATTTCCTTTGTAGTACAACAAGTTAGTCAGCTCATGCAGGCTCCACGTCATCTACACTTAGCTGCCTTTCGTCATATCATTCGATATCTTCGAGGTTCTCCTAGTCGTGGCCTATTCTTCCCTACTGGGACTCCTCTTCAGCTTGTGGCTTATAGTGATGCAGATTGGGCAGTATGTCCTGATACGCGACGATGTGTTACTGGTTGGTGAATGTTTCTTGGCGACTCTTTGATATCTTAGAAGAGTAAGAAACAAGATCGCATCTCCAAATCTTCTACCGAATCCGAATACCGTGCGATGTCTGCTGCTTATTCTGAGATTCTTTGGCTTCGTGGTCTTCTTGCTGAGATTGGTTGTGTTCAGTCCAATCCTACTCCTCTACATGCTGACAACACTAATGCCATTCAGATTGCTGCCAATCCCGTCTTTCATGAGCGTACCAAACACATTGAGGTGGACTATCATTCCATTCGGGAAGTATTGGACAATCGTATCATTTCTCTTCCTCATATTTCTACTGACCTCCAGATTGCAGAGGTGTTTACAAAGGCCATGACACGACAACGTCATCAGTTTCTTGTGGGCAAATTGATGCTTCTTGACCGACCAGCATCAATTTGAGGGGGGATGTCAACATGTTACGCTCCATGTTTCCTTATTTAGTTCTCACCAGTTGTACATATGTATTTCCTTATTTAGTCAAAATCTGTATGTAGACATAGTTTCCTTTAGTATAGACAGATTTAATTGCTGTAATTTAGGCTTGATTCTAGCCTTATATATTGCACATTTGTGCCTATATAATAAGAGGAAATCCTCACAGAGGTGATATTGAATCCATTTTGACAACCACAACTTGAACTCTTCACATTGTCACTCAAACTTAACTCTACTTAATACTAACACTAGGTCACATACCTTATTTATATAATTCATACATATTACTCCTAATATCTATATCTATATCTATACTAGTTATAAATTATAAATGTCAGCATTTGTGAAAAACTTTTAATTTCTATTTTATCCCTAATTTTTATTATAAAGTCAATGACACCCATATGTTACCTTCCTCTAATTTTTATTTTCTATACCTATTTGACTTCTAAATTCTATATTACTTTTATTTAATTTTTATTTCCTATACATTAACTTCTAAGTTTTTTTAGACTCTTTTATTAATCGTATCTAATTTTTAAATTCTTTTTGGCTCATTTATTAGAAGTACTCTTGCATATGGTTTTCTATGTCTATGTTTATATTTATATGAAATATAGTTCCATCTATATTTTATTATTCTACAGTACAATATATGTTATAGTTTATTTTTTGGTACACAACAATATCACATTATGACAATAAAAACAATAGTAATGCAATTTAATCAATTTCTTTGACAAAAAATGTAATAAATTTATAATATAATTATATGTGCAAATATTCAATAATGACAATCTTACAATAAGAATCCATTATAAACAAAAGAAGAAATATCTAAGGGGTCGGAGCGATACCTAAACATATAACATATTCGATACTCGAAGTGGAGTAAATTAGATCAATAATTAGGTTTGACAATAATTAAAATAAAAATTAATGAAAATTACATAATTTTTTATTCAATTTAATTACACATATAATTTAAATTTTTTATAAAAAAATTATTATTTAAATATATTCACGTCAACACACGTCATGCAATGCTAGTTACATTAAAGTATCACTACCTCCACATGCTCTTGTAACAACTAAAACATTAAGACCCACTTTATTCACCACAAGGAGAATTAACTAATCACAGTTACTTTTGTCTCCCACTACTTAAATATTGATGACCCAATAACAATCCTTTAAGATACCTTAATAATATAATAAAACTCTAACAACAATTTCCCAACACCCCCACCCCCTTTTAAACTTGGTTTTGCGCTTCCAAGTTTTCATCTTGCAAATCACTTCATGATAGAGGGGCTTCATGGAATGGAATTACTAGATACTTCATGTGGTTGAGTTCCACCTCCTTCAATAGTAAAAATCTTTAAAGTCATCTACTTTGTTATTAGAGCTTGTGATAAATATTCTCACACTTGTAAATTATCTTCAAGTTTCCTATTTTCTTCTTGACCCTTGGTTTATAGATCTTCTTTTTCTCAAATTTCTTGAACTTCTCTTGTATTGCCTCTCTTTGATCAAAAAATATCTCCATAGTCACCCAACCTGTTTTCCAACAATTAGTGTAACTTTCAAGAAATTCTTCACCTTGAATATGATTCTCAATAATTCCGACATGATAATCTTCACTTTGATGTTGGGTTGGAAAAACATCTTTTATGGTTACTTCATAGGATTCCTCTCTAATGTCCTTAACCATGTAAGGATCCTTGATATCTTCTTCATTTTTCACAAAATCTTCAATTTCTTTCACCTTCAAATAAAGTTATTCACGAACTTCGTTTGCTTTCATTTCTTGAGTCACTTCTTCAACATCATCATTTTCTTCATCTTATCTAGCCTTTTGAACTTTGGTCTTCTCAACTTGCTTGACTTCAACATGATAATGCTCTTTTTGATACTCCATTGGTGTGTCTTCAAAATAACACTTTTCTTTTACATAATCATCTTCTTCAAAAAACTCACCTTCATGTTTGGATACTATACTCTCAATTATCTTCCGAACATGATTTGAAGATCTCAAATCTTCAAGATACTTTCAAATTTTCGAAGGTGTAGCCTTTTCTTTTCCATTTTTTTCTCTCAAACTATTCTAGGCAAGGATCAAAATATCGTTTCAAAACGGTCGAAATATCCGAAATGTTTCTGTTTCCAAGGAGACCGAAATAAATCAGTGATGGAATCAAATTTCTAATACTTCGAGGTGACCCATAATGTTTCAAAATGTTTTGTTATATTTCAATACATTTTCACAATTATTTCGAAATGTTTCAAAATATTTTGATATATTTCGACTAGTGTTTTGAAAAAATAATTCTTAAAATTTTTTATTTTTTTTCATTCTATTTTCGAAACGGGTCAAAATGTTTTTGAAACACGTCAAAACGTTTCTGTTTCCTAGGTGACCGAAACAATACACCGAAACGAAATTTTGATCCTTAGTTCTAGGCAAATCATTCTTTAGCTTCTCTTCAATTACATTCCACAAATCACACGTTTGAGATAAGAAGCAAGAGTAATCTTCGTTCTCTTGTACTTAGAGAACATCATCTTTTCACATCAAAAATACATATTTGGTGAATCTTTTATGATCATCATAATCGCGATGAGCTATCTAAACTTCCAAGATTGGAAAGCTAGCTCTGATCGAGAGTTATCTACACTTCCAAGATCAAAATTTGGTTCTGATACCAATTTTTTGGAATTATTTCAATATTATTTTTGTTGGAAAAATCCCTCTGATACCATTTTATTGGAATCAAGAGAACTATAAATAAAATGGAAGGAAATAGGAAGAGGATGTGAACAATCAAATAAAAAAAAAATTCATTCAAGTTGATTACAACCACAACTTAGACTCTTCACAATGTTCACATACTCACTCAACCCAACTCTACTTTTTTTTTTTAACTCAACTCTACTTACTTCTAACATTAGGTCACATATCCTATTTATATAAATCATACATATAACTTCTAATATTACAATAAAGTACCTATACCTCCAATTGCTCTTGTAACCATTAAAACATTAAGACTCACTTTCTCCGCTATTAGGAGACTTAACTTGTCCTAATTACTTTGGTCTCCCCCTACTTGAATATTGGTGACCCACTAACAATCCTAATTAAGACACCTTTAGAATATAATAGAACTCTAAAAAACAAGTTTATTTTCCAACATTGCATACCCTATTNACTAAAACATTAAGACTCACTTTCTCCGCTATTAGGAGAATTAACTTGTCCTAATTACTTTGGTCTCCCCCTACTTGAATATTGGTGACCCACTAACAATCCTAATTAAGACACCTTAAGAATATAATAGAACTCTAAAAAACAAGTTTATTTTCCAACATTGCATACCCTATTACCTCTTAACCTCCACCCCCCCCCCCCAAAAAAAAAAAAACCCAATATTCAATTCAAATATAGCCACATAATCCCAATGTAATGCAGAACTTCAGAGAAAAATTGCCTCACAACCCCAACTTTGTGCCTTGGCAGCGTTGCACTATGTAGCATTAAAACATTGTGCACTGAAAAACGCATAAAAACAATGTCCCATCCAAAGGTCTGACAAGGGCAAGAATTGAGAATGCTAAAACACCATAATAAAATTCAATGACAATCAACTAAGCATGTTTTTCAAGCCTACATTTTCTTTGGTTGCAAAACTAGAACTGAACAATGAATGGTGCCTATCTTTTACTCCCAAAATTAGGCCAAGTGTTGCACTGATTGCCTATCCTTTACTGCCAAAATTTCCACCCGTAATCAGTTCCATGATCTAATTCAAACAAATAAACCTTTCATAGCAAGAGACAACTTATAAAAAATTTCTTCATACGACACAAAACAATTCAAATGCAAAAAAATGCAAACACAAAACCTAAACCAACCAATGAACAAAATTCAGAAAAAAAAAAACCAGTGAACATTGAAACCGAAATTTGAAGAAAGATCCATTACCCAAAACCGATGTGACAACACCTCAGCCGAGGCCGAGCGTTCATCAGCGCCTGGGTCTAAGAAATTGGGATAATCAACACAAGTTGCCTCTGAGGAGAGCCGAAGAGCTAAAGCCAACTGTAACTGGTAGCTCTCTTCGGTCTGCTGTGCCCAGCTCTTGTAGGACACCGTACCCATTTCATCCCTCACAGTCACTGTAGCCATGGCATCCTCCTCTGTGTGGTTTGTTGTCTGTTTATCGGGAAAGAGGGGTGGAAGTGGAAAGTGATGGGGTCCTCTGGTCGTTAGTGTTTCCATGGAATATTTTGAGCAATTACTTGAAAAATTGATTTAATCTTATATGGTTGATTTTGTTATGGGTTCGAAATTTATAATTATAATTTATCAATTCAACAAATCATATTAATTTTTTTAATATACATAACATTTCTATAATATTTGACTTGGAAGTGTTGCGTTCAAAATAGTGCAATTCGGATGGATTGAGCGGTGAACTATAGTCCAACCTTACATATATAATATTTAACTCTAATGCTAATCCTTACTTGACCTCATCCTAAGGTACTCAACTTGAATACTGTCCGAATTTAATTTAGACGGGGCTCGGATTAAATTTGAATTACTTAATTTGTGTTGATCTCGGGTTAAATTAGGTTGGACTCGAGTTACTTAATTCAAATTAATAAAAGAGGAAGGAATGACGAGTAAGAGAGGAAGTAGTGAGATAGAGAGGTTGAGAGTCTGAGACAAGACTCAGATGAGTGAGATAGGGAGGTTGAGAGAAATGGAGGCGCAGGGATGAAGATTTGAATTGAAGTGAAGTGAAAATCTCAACTATAAAAATTGAAAATAAATGTTAATTTTAGTTAAATATATTTATATATTTATGAATATTCGGGTTGAACCCAACAACCTAAACCCTTAATCCGAATTCAATTTGAATTAAAATTTTTTTAGCCAAATCCAACTAAAATATTAAAAATTTTAACCCAAAACTTTTTTTTTTTAATTGACACCCCCCCCCCCCCCCCCCCCCCCCCCCCCCCCCCCCCCCCCCCCCCCCNATTACATAATCCTTTTGTTATTGATTGCAATTTGTTCTTTCGAGAATATAAGTTTGTGTTTGGTTTGTAACTGAATGTTTAGGAGTATTTATAATTTTTGTAGGGTCTCTACAATTCAGTTGATTTGCATATTTTTTAATTTATTTTTGTTTTATGTTCTTAATTCGAATGTCAAATTACTTGGAATTTGCATGTAATTAGCATTTGCTTGCATAGTGTTGGACCCGAACATGAATTGCATAGCATTTCATGAGTATTGGAGAGTAAAAGTATAATTTTTAATAGTAAACCTTAAAAGTTGAAATAGAAAATGGCAAAGTGTTTGGATATGATTTAGTATGTATTGGAAATTAAGTGTTGTGTATGTTAATAATTAAGAAAAACAAAAGGGACTTAAGTGTAATTAAATAAAGTTTGGGGTGAATCATGAAGGACACCTGTCATTTTCTCTGCCCATTCTTGCCTAATATCTATGTCTAAGACTAAAGGGAGGATATGTATTTATACAGTCACACACACATGAAATCGGGAAGGACTTGAAGAAGGTGAAGCTCTACGGCTGGGTGCCAATTATATCCTCTATTTTTAGTTGTTTGTCTTTTGAGGTTGCTGGATAACTTATTCAAGTTAAGCCTGAGATTAGTTTAAACTTCTTCTTTTGGATATGCATTGGTATGAATTTTTGCTTATTAATCTAGTGGGCGGGGTAATATGTTATATACCTTGGGTGGAGTTTGAATCACAAAAAAAAAACTTAGGGTTCTTGTTAGGCGTTGGAGAGATGTTTGGTATGAGAGAAGAGATTATAGGAAAAGCTTGAATCCAATTATACGAACAAAAATTCAAAAATGTACCAGTACAAGTGGTGTTGTACCGGTACAAAAACATTATGCTTGAGGGTGAACCGGTATAAATGAAGTTGTATTGGTATAAGGGTATTCTATTTAGGAATGAACCGGTACAAAAGTGAAGAACAGGTATAAGTTGTACAGTTACAAAATAATAGGTGCAGATTTTTGCACATGGGAGAATCGCAATTACTTTCTCTAGAAAATTTTGATTGATGCATCATTTTTTTGTTAGAACCTAGACTCTTAGATACTTCTAACCATATAGGGCTCGTTTGGTATAGGTATTATGAGGGGATTAAATATTGAATTGTATTATTTTTTATTTAATCGGGCATAATATTTTGTTTGGTAAGTAAATTTGATATCGTATTAATTTCAAAAACGTATACTAATTGTATATTTATCGTATATTTTTTATACATTAGACCTGTATTGTGGAGGTATTTTAATACTACCAAAAGAGGTGGTATTATAATCCAACTCAAACGTATTATTTTACACATTTATCATTATAACCCCCCAACTGATAAAATCAAATTGTTATCAATGTAACAAATACTGATTTTAGATATTTTGATTAATTCAACATTAATACGATAAAATAATTCTTTAACCAAATAACCGATTGAATTAAATAATTATTATTCAACATTGGTGTTGTGTATTATCAAACATTAGATAAAATTACGTATTATTCTAATACCCTATTTAGTCTTGTCTTTTATTCTGCTGTATTGTATTAGACTGAATTATTTTATTTAATCTATTCATTTCTAATACGACAATCAAACGAACTCATAATGTACAACACCTAATTCTAATGTACAACACCTAATTCTATTTGTGTGAAAATTGATAGCAGTTAGAAGTGGACTGCAATTTTGTGACTGATGAGCAGGTGCCCAGCTTAATTTTTTTTAGGAAAAAAGAGTTGACTTTTCACATGGGAATCCGACTACAGCTAATGACTTATGGTTGCAAAGCTCTTTAAGATGACATAGGTTTCACTGTGTAATTCGAAGTACATGGAGAGTTTTAACTAGGAGGTTACGGTCGGTCAATCTAACTAATAAATGTCAACATGAAAATTACTGTGTTTATTTGTAGGAAAATGATACATAACTCAAATAAAATATAAAACTTAAAACTTAAATTTCATATCATCTTTTGAACGAGTGTAGGATGAGTGAGCCACATTAAAAAAATTGATGGGATCTACTCATCCAATGAATGATGTACATTTGTATTACAACTTTTTGGGTTTCATTTAGGTTTTATAGCCTTACTCTTATTTGTATAACCTAATCTAAGGTATTACTTTATGTTATATCACTTAGGTAAGGGTGGGGGAATGTACTAATTCAAGTATAACCAAGCATCCGCACACCTGCATTTTTGACATAATGCATTTGTAAATGATATTCACATGGATCTTATGACAATGTGTGTTAGGTGCGGAGGCGATCACGTTGATGTCGATTCTACCTAAGGTTTCACCGAGAAATTGATTTTGGATTTAGAGTTGAACCAAAGGTGAGTGTAGATATGAATTCATATTGATTGAAAACTTGATTGATTGTTTATTAGTTATACTTATGTATAAATGTTGGATGTGATTTGTGGTTTATGATTGTTTTACTTGGATAGTTGTTTGGTTATGGGCTCTAGTACTTGTTGTTGTTGTTATGTGCTTACCAGTAGTAATGGTTGCCAAGACTCATGTGCATAATCGTGTAGCGAAGTGGTCAACAAGACTCTCAGGTGGAAACGGATGGTTGTTGATTTTCACCAAGACTTCCGAGCGATATTGGATATTCAAATATTGGTTTCCACTTTTATCATGTGAGACTTATTTATATCTGCTTTGTGCTTATGTATTTTCTTTATATATGTCTCAAATATACTCACTAAGCATACGGTTAGGTCACCCTCCAACATATGTTTGATTTCAGATGTTCGGAAATAGAAAACAGTTTTACTGAGCAGTCTGACTTGGCGTAGAAGGGTTGATGTAAGTCTATATATTATGTCATGTGTCATATTGTACATAGTTGTTAGGATGTTTTGAGGGTGTGATGCCCTAATGACATGTGTAAACTTAGTTATGTTCATATGTTAATTTTAATACCAAGTTTTTGGGTTATGGGAATGGATTTGATTATCCTTGCTAAGTGGTATTAATTTGGTTTTTAAGTTTTGAATAAATAGATATCAAGTTAGGTCTACCCACACCCTATTTCTTTCATGGGATGGGATGTGACACATACGATCTGGCTCTGATATCCGCATAACATCTTGTTTTAATAGAAATAAAATTTGAAACATAGAATTAAGGGCCCACCACCCTAAGTGAAATTCTTGACTCCTCCCCTACAATTGTATAGTTATGCTTATGAATTTTGGCCCAACAATAGACATTAGAGTTTGGATCCTATTATCATTTGTTGAACAAATTATCGTCCTTGTAAATAAAATAGAAAAAGGTACAAAACAAGATTCAAAGTAATAATTTCAATATCCCTCCACCCAAGTCACTGCTCAAGTGAGCCTCTAATGGAGACAGTAGGAACTTATAGGATATAAGATTAAGCATATAACACCGGAATATTGAAGCAGGATACGAATTTGCTCAGCAGCACACTATTTGGTTATTCATGGGAGTCGAGTCCACTACGGATGTAGATGACTAGCTCATCTTGACTTCACCAGAAGGTATTGATCTTGAATACACCCAGAGATTTGAATTTAAAGCCTTCAACAACGAAGCAGAGTATAAGACGTTAATTACTGACTCATTCTATGGAAGCTCAATAGTTATTAATTCGCAGTGACTCCCAGTTGGTGGTGAGGCAAGTCGAATTTGAATACAACGCAAATAAAGAAAGGATGGTAGCTTAACTAAAGGTTGTCAATGATTTGTTGGGAAAGTTTCTTCATGTGGAGATCTTGTAAGTACCAAGAGTGGAGAACCCCAAAGCTAATTAATTGGCAAGACTGGCAACAACATCATATGGGAGCCTTAATAGAACAGTCCTTGTGGATCATCTAAAGGAGCCCAACATCACCCAGAGCTTAACAAGAGAGGAGGTCATGCCCGTAGAGGAGGGTCTGAGCTGGATGGACCCTATCCTCAACTATCTCCAGGTGGGAGTGCTTCCCCAAGATCCAAAGGAGGCATCTAAGCTGAGAAATAGGTCGTCCCATTTCTGTTGACCCAAAGTGCAACCTAAGAGTGGGGTGAATTAGGTTGCATGACTAATGTTCAATTTAAAAATCTCAATTTCATTAT